CGGGCGGGACCCAAACGGGCACGTCGGGTGGCCCAGACCTTAACGGGACGGTCGAGTGGGCGGGCGGGACATTAAAGATGGCTGGGGGTTTGCCAGCATGTGGAGGTATTTGGCCCACGCGGGCGGGTCGGGCGAGCGGGACCCTAGAACGGGCGAGTCTGGCGGGCGGGACCCTAACGGGCGGGTCGGGCGGGCGGGACAGTAAAGCTGGCGGGCTTGCCAGCACGCGAACGGAGGTCGAGCGGGCGGGGCATTCAAGCGAGCGGGGGGGCTTGCCAGCACGTGAACAGACGGGACACGAACGGGCGGGTCGGGCGGGCGGGGCCCACACGGGACAATCGGGCGGGCGGGATCTTTATAGGCGAGTCGGGCGGGCGGGACATTAAAACGGTCGGGTGTGGCGGGCGGGACTTTAAAGCTTGAGGGGGAGGGGGGGCGGCAGCACGCGAACGGGCGGGACTCTAACGGGCGGGTCGGGCGGACGGGAGGGACTTTGACGGGCGGGTCTTGCGGGCGTGACCTTTACGGGCGGGCCTGGCAGGTTCATCGCTCGTCTGTGCAAAGTTTCCGGAAGTTTCAGAAGGCCCCAAACGACCGCCCGATACACACCGAATTGACCCTTAGACGGCCAGGGTGAAGGCTCCAGTAACGCCTTCTAAGGCCCCTAAGGAGAGCATCAAGGAATCTGATCGTTCCTCCTCCTTTTCTCCTGGTCCTTCTGCTTCTCATCTTCCTTGTGACGGGCCCATGTGCGTCCAAGACAGCTCAATGGAGGATCAATCTCGCCTCCAAATCGCCCCTGACTGCCCCTAAAGCGGTCCAAGAAAGCCTGGACGCCTCCCTGTCAAAGCCGCAAGGCAGCCCCTTGACCACCCCACACGGTCTAATAAAGCCAGGTCGGCCCCAAGGAGGTCGCCATAGTGCCCCAGACAGCCCTAGGAGGCCCAAGAGACCCCAGGGCGCGTGCAAAGCTGCTACCAGGCTGCCTCCTGATGGCCCCAGCACTAGCCGAGGCGGGCCCGATGTCCCGTTGTGCTCCCCTAGAGGCCCGACGACGGAATAGAAGACGATCAACAAAAGTGGCCTTTGAGAGGCGAAATCGCTGAAAGTCCTTGTGGCTTGAATACTGATGACCTCTTTTCTTGCCTGGCCCCGGACCGGCCCAGGTGGTCCCAAGTTGCGATAGGGAAAAATCAAAACGGCTTCCAGACCGTCCCAAGACCGCTGCCCAAGAGGGCCCAGAGCGCCCAAGACGGCCCAAGAGGGCCTCCGACTAGGTCCCACAGCGCTCCGAGATGCCCAAGCTAGGCGCCAGACGGCCCAAAAGTCCTCCCGAGACGCTCCAAGTCGGCTCCAGGACGAGCCCCCAAAAAGCCAGATCAATGAAACATCGTTAAGATTCCCAGGGAAAACGAGCCTTTTTCCAGGTCCACTGCTTTTTGTCCACTGCGATGTCCACACGGCCCTACTGGCCCTCCAGATCACCCCACCATGCCTCTGGAAGCTCCTTGGACGGCCCCAAGACGGCCCCACGATGGCTCTTGAGGCGCCGATGGCAGCCCAAGAGGCTGCCATGACAGCGCCGCGACGGTCCCAAGACGGCTCCGAGACGGCTCCAAGACGGCCCCAGAGGCGCTAACACGGCCGAAGAGACCCACAAGACCGCCCAAAGACGGCCCAACAGGCCTCCAAGCGCGTCCCCAGACGGCCTAGGGAGCCCCAAGATGGCCCAAGAGGCGCCCAAGACGGCCTCAGAGGACCCCAAGCCAGGCCCACGAGGGGGCCAAAGAAAGGGAAAAAACCTTGACACTCCAAGCCCTGGGCCCCCATACGCCCACACAAGGGCCCAAGACTCTACCCCCCCAAGAGGCCTCCAAGAGCCTCCAGCCGTACTCCGAAGCATGCCCCCAGAGTCCACCATCCTCCTCGCCTTCTCGCCTAGCCGACGCTCCAAGACGGCCGAAGAGGCCCACAAGACCTCCCCAGGACGGCCCACCAGGCCTCCAAGCGCGTCCCCAGACGGCCCAGGGAGCCCCAAGATGGCCCAAGAGGCGCCCAAGCCAGCCCTAGAGGACCCCAAACCAGGACCCCCAGGAGGCACCCAAGAGGCAACAATTGCCCCATTCGCTTTGGAAGACGTGCATGTTTGATATGCTCGCTCGTTTCGTCTTCACCGCGTCCAAGACGGCTATACATGCCTTCCCCTTCGCCCCAAGACGGCCCCAGAGCACCCCAGGAGGGCCCCCAAACGGCTATACAGGCCCCCCACCTCGCCCCAAGACGCGCCCAGAGGCCCCCAAAGGGCCACACGGCCCCGACGGCCCAGGACGCACCCAAGACAGCCCCAATAACAGCCAAGAATGGCCAACGGGACGGCTCCGAGAGGCTCCAGGGGGCGCCAAGACGGCCTCAGAGCACCCTTGGGAGCCCCAAGGCAGCCCCAGAGGCCCCCAAGACAGGCCAGGAGGCCCCCTAAGACGGCCCAGGAGGGCCCCCAGGAGAGCCCCAGGAGCCCCAAATCGTCCCATTCCCGACGGGAAACGCACATCTTCGCTATGTTCCGTTTTTTCGTCCTCTCAGCGTCCCAGGCGGCTGTAGAGGCCCTCCACCTCGCCCCAGCCCAGAGGCACCCAAAGGGCCCCACACGGCCCCGGGACGGCTCCAGAGGCGCCCGAGACGGCCCAGGACGCACCCAAGACAGCCCCAAGAGCAGCCAAGAATGGCCAACGGGACGGCTCCGAGAGGCTCCAGGAGGCGCCAAGACGGCCTCAGAGCACCCTTGGGAGCCCCACGACAGCCCCAGAGGCCCCCAAAGCAGGCCAGGAGGCTCCCAAGACGGCCCAGGAGGGCCTCCAGGAGAGCCCCAAGAAGAGGCCCAAACCGTCCCATTCCGACGGGAAACGCACATCTTCAATATATCTTACTTGTTCGTCCTCGCAGCGTCCAGAAGGCTATACAGGCCCCCCAGCTCGCCCCAAGACGCACCCAGACGCCCCCATAAGGGCGCCCATAGGGCCACACACTGCCCCGGGACGGCTCCAGAGGCGCCCGAGACGGCCCAAGACGCACCCAAGACAGCCCCAAGAGCAGTTCATAATGGCCCAAGACGGCGTCACCGCCCCGTCTCCAAGACGGCTGTAGAGGCCCCCGCCGCCCCGTCTCCAAGCCTTTCCGTTTGGACAGTCTTCAAGACGGTCTTTGGGCCGTCCAGGCCGGCTCCAGAGGCGCCCGAGACGGCTCAAGAGACACCAAAGACAGCCCCAGTAGCGCCGAATATTGGCCCAAGATGGCCCCAAGATTGTCCCAAGATGGTTCTAGAGGCGCCCAAGACGGCCCCACATCACCCCAAGACGGCCCACGATGCACTCAAGACTGCCAAAGAGGGCTCCGAGAGACCCACCCCCAGGAGGACGAAAAGAGGCCCCCAAGCGGCCCCCGAGAGGCCTTGGATGCTTCTCTCTTGGGGAGCGTCGAACTTCCAGCATCGTTTTGGAAGCTTCTTGGACCCTCTGGGAGCCATCTCTGCGCTATTTTGGGACGTCTTGGGGAGGTGCGCTCGAAAAATTGTTTCGTGTCCTCGCGCCAAGGCCCTTCTTAGTGAGTTCCGTCTCGCCGCCCTCTTGCGGGCCTCCTAGGCCGCGCCCACTGGCCCCATTGTCACCGCACTGCCAAATGAAATTAACATTCGGCCCCGGCGAAGAGCAGATAAACTTCTCACGGCTACCTTCCCCGCAGAAGCTATGATGAACACAGAATGCGGCGTCAGAAACAGTTTCCGCCTCCACCACCGCGTTCCTGCCTTCAGGCCTGCTTGCCTGCATCCCTCGCCCACCTTCCCCTCCAGCGGCCACCTCCTCCATCCACGCCGTCCCCTCCAACCCCCCCTTACCCGCGAGGCCACAGAGAAGCTCCACTTCCACGTGCACGCCAGGGCGGGCAAATTCCGCGGCCGGAGGCCGCGGGTCAGCCCTAGTCAGTTACAGTGCAGGGATCAGCGCGTGCGAGAAGGGCGAGCAGTGGCAGCAGGCCCTGGCACTGCTCGGCGAGATGCTGGAGGCGGAGGTGGAGCCCCATGTCATCGACTCTGTTCCGAGACTTGGATTGGTACATCTCAACCGCCCGAGGGAACTCGGAAGGCAGCTGATGTGGATGCATTCGGGCCACCCTTGGACCCGAAGATACCCATATCCACTCCCAGGGGTCCGGACATTGGCTACCCAGGCGGTGGGTATGTGCAAATTCTGGCCTCGCATCTGCAATGCCGCATTCCGCCAAGGCGGAAGAGGCGGGCAAGTCCGCCTCCCATGTGCTTGGGGAGGATCGGTCGGAGTTGTTGCTGGAAGTTTTCTGCAACCCGTTTGGTCATCCGCACGCGCGTTCCCACGCAGATCCCACGTAAATGGATGGACACATAGAGACAGACACACATACACATACATACATATATACGCACATGTATTGATAATTGAAGGTCAACCATGGTGTCCAGATGTGTGTCCACTCTTGCGATGAATTGTGCGTCTACTGCAAATCAAACATGATGTCACCCCATCCCCCCCAACCTCCTTATCAACCAAAGGATCGTCTATGAAGAATTCGAGGCGCACGTAACGAGGGTCAGCGCCAGCGGGGGCCAGGGAATCTTCGAGTGCTGCCGCACGTTTGAGAGCAATGAAGGGCCGCATCCCCCGTTCCCTCCCTCCATTCACCTGAGCTTGGGAGCGGCTTCGCGACAGGGCCCTATTTGAATCGGGTTAGCGCTGACCCGGATCAGTGCGTTCCCCATCTGTCTTCCCACATTGATGTTTTCATCTTGTATTATACAGTAGTTTGAGCTCAGGGAGCGCTTCACAATTTCGCCCACGACGGCACAACATTAAGTTGTGCCTCGCGAAAGTGGGGGACATACGTGAGACAGAATGGGGTGTTCGGGCGATTCGTGTGCTCCATGTGCAAGTCAGGCTCATTAAGATCGTCTTGTGGTTCACACTAACTGTCAGCTACAACGCTGGGATCAGCGCGTGCGAAAGGGGCGAGCAGTGGCAGCAGGCCCTGTCGCTGCTCAGCGAGATGCTGGAAACGAAATTAGAGCCCAATGTTATCTCTTACAGCGCTGGGATCAGCGCGTGCGGCAAAGGCGAACAATGGCAGTGGGCCCTGTCTCTGCTCAGCGAGATGTGCGAGGCGAAGATGGAGCCCAACGTCATCAGCTACAGCGCTGGCGTCATCGCGTGCGAAAATGGTGCCCAGTGGCAGCAGGCCCTGTCGCTGCTCAGCGGAATGAGGGAGGCGAAGCTGGAGCCCAACCTCGTCACCTACGGCAGGTTCGCGCTGCGTTGACGCGGTGGCGACGCCGGGGCCGGCAGCTGCCCCGCTGGGCCCCCAGTGCTCCTCAAGCGTAGCGTTGAGTGCGACCGAAAGGGGGACGGAGAGAGCGGGAGCGAAGGCCAACGGCAGTTCCTCCCCGATCTGGGCAGGAATCGGGGCCGATGCTGGGACGGACGAGACCTGCCCTGTTTCGGTTCTTTTCTGCGTGCTCGAAAGTATTTCTGCGATGTCGCCCTTCAGAGAGGAGCAACATCACGACAAGGGCGAAGAGCCCATAGGTGGGCATTACACGCATTCGCCGGGGAGTCTCGCCGGAGGCACGGACCGTCGGTGCCCTTGGATGCATGTACTGCGCCCCACTGGGCTATCCGCCCCCATCGTCGCCCCCGAGACTTCTTGGGGCCACATTGCCGTTGTGCATCGTCGCCGTTTGTTCCGTCCCCCAGTTTGGGCGTGCCATTGATCGGGGAAGCAAGAACGCCATAGACATCAACTTTTGGCGCTCCGCGCGAATGTTTGTTGATCCGCGCTGGCCCCCCTGGCGGCGCCTCCGGCGCCGCCCCTGGCGCGCTCCGCGCGCCAGGGGCGGGGTCCAGCGAAGACCCAAGAAGAACGCGCGGAGCGCCAAAAGCTTATGTCTATGCTATTTTCCTTTTTCTCAAGGAGTGGGCAGGTCTTGGAGGGCCCCTCCGAAGTGCAGTGCTCATCGGATCCGATGTCGTTCAAATTGTAGGTGGTTATGACACGCTCGATGTGAGGATGTCAGCAGTCACTGCTCAGTATGTGCCCATATGCACGGTTCCATGCACGAGCGTGTGTAGCATCAATGAGTTTGTTAGGTTCGTATTCCGTGAGTATGGTTGTGTGCTCATGCTACAAAAACATGCAGACCATGAGACTCTTACGCGGCGGGAAGGCATTGATCTCCACAGCTGGAAGGTCACGCACATGCAGAGCCGAAGTCTGCAGACCACATGCTCATCGCGATTAGTTTCTCTGCGAAATCTGGTTAGTCATGTCGCTGTCTATTATCACGAAGTTCCGTCAAACACTGTCTCGAAATCTGCGAGCATATGCGTCGTGCATGGGCATTCGGCAGCTGCGGCGCTCGAATGACACCCAGGAGGCAGCGAGTCAGCTATAACGCTAAAAATCAGCGCGTTCCCAGAAAAACGCGCGTTTTCAAGCGGTGCTGTCGATGCTCAGCGGGCTTTGGAAGACGAGTTGAGAGCTAAGCATCGTCGTCTCAAGTGATTCCAGGGGCGAGGCGCGCCATTTTGCGATCGGAATTTCTCGGGTGCCCTTCCCAAAGCGCCCTGGAAGGTCCGCAAGCATTTCCCCACTTCCCTGTAGGATTCCCCGGTCGCCTGGGGAGTCGGTCCTAGATTGTCGGCGGGTCGTCGACAAGAATGCATTGTTCGTCTTTGGCAGACTTGCTCCCGTCGAGCGAATTCGCCACGACCCTCCAGCAGGGATTCCTCCCGAGCCGCTCTGGAGCTCCCAGGCTCTTCACAATGCCACCGTACGACGAGAGCCCTACTGGAAGATCGCTCTAATTGCAAAGCCATCGAACACGGATACACTCAAGCCGCTTGCGGCGCGCTTCGTGTTGGGATAGTCGGGAGCCACGCGCTCTTACCACATCATCCTCAAGAGGTTTTGTTGTTCGTCAGGGAGTCGGCCGCGGGCTGGTGACTGGCATTCAGAAAATCGCTATATCTCCAGAGCGTGTGCCCCGTGTGCGTGCGCGTCTACATGATCCAGAATACCCAGCCCAGAATATTGTGCATGTCCTCGGCGGCGAGATCCGAATCCTGCTTTCGCCGATCATCGATTCAGGCACCTCGATGATGGGCGGGTCGGGGGTTAGGGCTCGAATCACCCAAGCACGTGGCGAAATCCGAACCCTAACACTGCCTCCCATCGATTCAGGAGAATCGGTGGTTGGTGGGGGTAGAGTTCGGATGTCGCCACATTCCAGCCACGCGCAGAGGGTGGTGGGGGGAGGCCGGAGGGCTTCTTAGAAACACCCGTGCTTGTTAGAAGGCGCGGGCCTTCTCTATAGATGTAGGGCCAGCGCCTTCTAAGAAGCAGACTCCTGAGAAGCCCTTCCCCCTCCCGCCCCCCCCCTTTTGCTGCGCGCCGCCTGCACATGGCTCCACGGCCCGCTTGCGAGCCCGTTCACGGGCCTCTACTAGCTGGGCCGCAAGTTGGTCGTGTTGCTGGCGGCGGGCACTTCGGCGGCGGGCGTGGCTATGCACTGCGATCCTGCCACTGGGAGGCCGTGCGGTCCTCGGGCCCTGCGTTCCGGCGCAGGCCAAGGGGGTAGTGGATCTCCAAGCAGTGGGGAAGCGTCCTAACCTGCTTGTACACTCAACACGGATCGTAATGATGAACGGTTTTCCAAGGTACTGTTTGCATCCTTCCGCTTCGGCCCATCCTTGGGCACCTTCGCTGGCCGCGCCCCGCTCGAAAAGTGTCCGCGTGGCTTCCTCCTCTTGCACCACCTCGGGGAACAAACAATGGCATAATCATTTTGCCCGAGACGTACCCACCCCCATTCTCCGCGAGTTGCGAGGTCTCGGCTGGATCCGCGTACTCCCCTACTCCGCTGAGCCTCCCAGGAACCCAAGAAAGCGCGACATCTGCGCAACTCGTAGCCTCCCAGGGATCTGCGAGGTCTCGGGCACTCCCCTACTCCGCCGTGCCTTCCACGAACCCACGAACATGGCGACAGTTTCGCAGTTCGCAACTCCCAGGGAGCTGCGAGGTATCGGCTGGGTCCGCGTACTCCCCCCACTGCGCCGTGCCTCCCAGGAGCCCACGAAAGCGGCGACAGTTGCACATTCCGCAGCCACCCAGCGAGCAGCGCAGGAGGCAGGAGGAGGGGGGGGGAGGAGGGGGGGAAACAGGAGGACATGTGATCAACAGCGTTCTACTCACAACGAGAACCCAACACAGGAGGGTTGGAACAAACATCTGAGGTCCGCGAGGATTTTTCGGATCGGCGCTGGGGGCCCTTGGCGGCGCAAATGGCGGCGCCCTTGGCGTGCTCCGCTCGCCAGACAGGGGAGTTCAGACCTCCGAGAAATCATGGTTATGTTTATGCACTTGTTTTGCTCCGCGCTGGCGTCGCCGATGCAACGCCGACGTCGCCGATGCATCGCCGATACATCGGCGATGCGGCGTGATCCTCCGACGCAATCGACTCGAACTCTTATAGAAGCCTTTTAAGACTGTTATAGGAACCATGCGTGGTTTGCACGAGTTGTTGTTCGAGCATTGACGGTCGAGCCCGTCTTGGTTTAATATTTAGGTTTCGAGTCCTAAGAACATTGTTGTAGGTGGTCTTGGTGTTGTTGCTGCTGTTGGTATGAGAACATGCTGCCGCTCTGAGAACGTGTCGTGATAGGGCCTACAGGAATGATTGGACGGTCGGGCACTGTTCCAGGTCTGAGCCAGCGAGCGAGGCATACGGTCTAGTCCAGATGCTGAAACACGATTGAGCTCAGGAGGGGCTCTGCTTTGCGGGCCGTTCCTTCGATCTGGGTCGGGAAACCGGTTCGACTGCGAGGCTCGCCTTGGCCAGCCGAGCCCTGTCGTTCCAGCGTTCCTTCTGTCAAAGCGTGAATTAGCTACCCCGCTCTCGCTTCCAGGCAAAACCAAGTCATACCATACGCCTCCTCGTCAAGCGGCCTGACCAGTACATGCCGTAGTTTGGCATCGCTTGGTATCTCTTGGAAGCGAGGGTGGTCAAAAGCGAGGTAGGTTTGTTTGCCCCCTATTATGGCTTATGGTGGCACGATGGCTGTGTATTCGAGTCGTGTCGACGCGGCGACGACCCCAGCGGGGTTTTCAATGCTGAGCGCCGTCAGCGCCCTGGAATCAGCCAATATGGAATGGTCTGGCGATCGAGAGGTCGCCGACCGTTCAAGGTTGAAAGATCCACGCAGTATCAGAAACCAACGCTGGGGTCGTCACGTCACGAACCCGCCGTCATCGTCTCGCCGCCGCCCAGTCCTGCCAGAAGCCGGGCTGCCCGTCAGAGAAGGGAAATACACCGACTTCGATGTGCCTCCTCCCCCGTCACTCGCAGTGGCTTTCTTGAAGGCTCCGGGGAGGTCGTCGTCGCCACGGCTGTATTCGTTTCGTCAATCCTAGTGAGAACGCGCCCTGCGGTATCGGAGTCAATGTGTGTCTTGAGATCGAATTATTTTTATCAGCTACAGCGTAGGGGTCAGCGCGTGCGAGAAGGCCAACTGTGCCAACTGCGTGAGCCCTGGCAGGCCCTGGCCCTGGCTTCTCCCTGGTGCGACCTTGCGGGCGATCCCAAGGGTCGCGGTCTCTGCTACCAGCGCGGCGTGAGCGCTCTGCGGGAGCGCCTTGGCTCCCCGACACGTGTTCGGGGCCTCCTCTTCCGTGTGTTATGGTGAAGGTGCAGCGCAAGGACCAGTGCGTGCGAAGAGGGCGGCTGGTGGCATCGAGGCGGTGACGTTGCTCGCCGAGTTGCTTGGCGGCGACCGCAGGGGGGAAGGGAGAAGGAGAAGGTCTTGTCAGAAGGCGGCGGGTCTTCTCTGAGGCCCTCGCGCCTTCTGAGAGGTTTTCTATTTCTTCGGGGGAGGCTTAGGAAGCTTCTCAAAGTGCCGGGGGATTTCCGAGCCTTCTGAGAATGCCCGCCCCTCCTCACATCCCTCCCTCGCTCGCCGCCGATAGTTTCAGGATGCGGAATCTGAGGGGAACGTCAACAGCCAGAGAACTAGAGCCAGCGCGTGCGAGAGAAGCAAGTCATTGGTCGCAGCAGGCCCTGTCGCTTCTTCCGAGCGGCGAGCTGAGCAGCAGACTTCATCAGCTACGTACTGGAGTTTGCGCTCGCGGCAAAGGCGGACAGCGGCAAGTGCATTGTCGACGTTCAGCGAGATGTGGGGAGCGAAATTGGACTTAGAGGCGGATGATTCATGAACATCCATGTGGAGGGAGAAGGATGAGGAGGATGGATGAGGATGGAGAGAGGAGGCGAGAGAGGAGAAGGCAGGGGTCAGACCAAAATCAGTCGAAACCGATGGGCTTGAAGGACCTGGCTCAGGTTTCACGAGTTCTGACGAGACTCACGACGTCGTCAAACAACACGGCTGGAGCCCCGCGACCAGTCTTGCCGAATTTTGGTGCTCAGAACGGGAGGCAAGCGCCGTTTGTCACAGGGCCTGGCTCGATTATTATTGTGGCCGAAGCCTTGCTGCACACGTTAAGGGTTTGTTGCTCAGCGTGCCGCGCCGCCAGTTCCGGCCCACCACAGTTCGGTGCAACACGCAGTCCGCATTCAAAGTGTGTTCATAGTGGTCCACATGCGAACCCTACCCCTACCCCCCACGATTTCTGAGGTCGAGGGTGGGGTTCACTTCGTTCGGGAGCTCCCGAGCGAAGTGAACCCCACCCTCCCCCTCAGGAATCGTGGGGGGTTAGGGGTAGGGTTCGCACGTGGACCCCTAGTTCAGATTCCCGAGTGTGTTGCCACTTCGGATGCGCCCTGTGCTATCAGATTTCAAGGAATGGCGTGTCACAGTCAGAGGCCGGCAACATGTGCGCAGGCATGCGGTCAGTTTCCGTTGGCCTGCGTCTGAACGCGGCCATCTGTGCACAAACCGTGGAGGGCGCTTGCTCCGCTCAGCATCGTCTGACCGATCCACCATGCCCTGATTCCTCGGCCCCACCAGCCCGCCCCCCCCCGGGCTGGCGACGGATCCCGCGAAAGCCGAGGAGAACAGCGCACATCCCCTCCCAGGGAGGTAAGAGTCGGCCAGAGGGGCAAAGCCCATGCCAGTGGGGATCAGCATCGATTCAACGATGCTCATCCGCGCCAGCCACCCCCGCTCGCGGCACACCGAGCGGCTCGCGCGCGCGCTCATGCCGCCAGGCGCGGACGAGCTGTCTGCTCAGCGAGCTCTGCTCTCGCTGTCCTCCTGAGCGGGGCCAGGGTCAGTCAGCCGGGCGGCGGGAGGGAAGCTCAGGGGCATCGTCAGGGCGACGCGGACACGAATTTGTTCCCAGCTGGGCTGGTCTCATGGAGGCCTTCACGCCCCAGGGCTCCAATGTTGAGGGGGCGTTCTCGTGAGCTTTTTTGGCACTGAATGCGTTGAGCTCGCAGGTGACGAAGTCCATCACTGTCGCGCTTCGGCTATTGCCACCCTGATGTTTCCCCTGAGCGGGTGGCTGGCTGGGAATGCACTCTCGCAGTCCGCATGTGCCCTTTTGCTCGCCTTTTCAGAGTGGTGGGCCCAAGCGTATCCACATCAAATGCAGTCAAGACGCTGGAATAAGGATCAGTTCGGGTTCGGAATGGGCTCGCTGTTTGGCAGGTCCTTCCATGGTTGTTCCTCTTGCGCTCCTCGTGTGCCCAGCCGCTTGGGGGGTCCACCAGGGGCGTCGTTCCTGTGTTTAGCGTTCCTGATAGTGGTCGATATTGACTGCACCTGCTTCCCAACTGCCAGCTCACTTCAGCCCCGGCTGGCGGCGCCAGCGCGCTCTTCCTGAAACGCTTTCAGCCGTGAGTGCCCTCTGCGGCCGCTTCTCCCCTTTCCGCGCGCCCTCCCTTGCAGCCGGCCAATTAGTTGGTCACGTGTCCCCGACAATTTGAGCGCCCGTGCGGATCGTCTTTGCCGTGCTGCGACCCAAGAAGCACCTGCTTCCCAACTTCACCCTCTTGGGAAGAGAGGGAGGCACTTGATGCGTATGTGTTTGGGCCCCCTACTTTTAGCTTGAGGTCAGTATCACGTCGCCGCTGGTCGGGGTGGGCTGGTGCTTCTCAGTGCCGTGTCGTTCCGATCGAGCCGTCCCGGATAACATTGAGAAGTCGTTGTCGACTCTCCCTTCGTTGGCAACGATAGGGGGCGATAAGCATAAGGGGGTACGCATCGATCCCCAGACGCCCATTGATCGCCGATAGGGGCTCGATAGCCCTGACCCGCCCAGGAAGGCGTGGTTTCGCCCAGGAAGGTGTGGTGATGTTTCCCCCCCTGTGCCAGTCTCCCCCCAAATGGTTGCCCCTCCTCCCCCCCCTTCAGGCGAAACTTTGTCGCTTCTCGCTCCCTGGATATCCTGCCCCCCGACTTTTCCAGCCCGCAGGAGTCTTCACGATCTTAAGGATTCCCATCGGATTCTTACTGGGTTCCAGTAGGTCTACAATCGGATTTCAATGGAATTCGAATAGGATTCCAATCCAGGCCAATCGGATTCCTAAAGGGCCCAATAGGAAGGCAATCAAGTCCCGATCAGATGCCAATATGATTATTTGAAGTTGGAGTCTTGTAGGATTTCATTTGAATCCGAATGAAGTCCCAATCGGATTCCAAGTGGATTTCAACATGATTCCAACAAGGGTCCAAGTAGATCCCAATCATATCCCAATGTGATACTATTCGAATTCTTATAGGATCCAAGTAAGATCCGAATCAAATTCCAAGAGGAGATCCAATAGGATCCCTAAGAATTCCTATTAGGATTCGGGTAAGATCCCACTGGGACTCCAATCAGATCCCATCTGGACTCCAATACCGTCCGCCCGGGGGAATCATTTTCTTCCAGTGGCGGCGCTGCAATAACGCGGCCGGTGCGGGGTGTGATATCCTTTTGCAAGGTCTCTTCCGCAGATCGGCAGAACATATTAGCAAATCTTTGATATGGTATCTAAGATGGAATCAACATACCCTTGGACTCTTCTCTCTTTCTTCCGATCTCTCGTTCTTTCGTTATCAGTTTATTCCCCGCCATTCTCTCTCGTCCTTTTCTCTCATGTTCTCTGAAAGTCTCTCTCTTTCTCTCTCTCTCTCTCTCTCGTCGTAGTCATCGTCATCGATTACGGCCGTCGTTGTCGGCGGCGCAGTCGTCGTCGATTACAGCGGGCCTACGCAGCACCACCCCCCTTTCGGGGCATCAGTAGCGGGTCGTCGTCGTTGTCATGATCGCCGCCGCCGCCGTCGTCGACGCCGTCGTCGTCGTCGGCATTGCCGTCGCCGTCGTCGCCGTCGTCGTCGTCGCTTTCGGCGGGCCCGCGCACCCCCCTTCCGTGGGGCATCCGCAGCGCATCGTCGTCGTCCCTCGTCGTCGTCGCCGTCGTCGTCGTTTTCGTTGTCGGCTGGGCTCGATGGTTTCGATGGTGGCCCTTGGAAGGTTTGAATGGTGCCGAAGAGAACCCAAGCAGGATTCCTCGTTGATGAGAACACATAATGATTCTACTGAAGTCTCTTCTACTCCCCTTGCTCCCCCCCCTCGGTATTTTGATTGGTAAGTCCTACGGCCCGTACGGACATCGGTAATCCCTACCACTCGTCATTCCCCCCCTCGTCGCATCCCCCGCTCATCGTCGATAGGAGCCCGACAGCCCACCCCGCACAGGAGCGTGCGAAGCCGCTGTCGGGGGCCTGTTCCCGACCTATCGGCGATTCCAGGTCGATCTTTGCCCCCCCTGAGCTGGGCCCCCCACGAACGTTCCCCATCTGGGCGGATGGAGCACACTGGAGCACGGTTGGCCGCGCGCAGGAGGGGATGGCGCGACGCGGGCGGGGCCCCGGTAAGGAGGCGGGGTGCTCAGCAGAAGGCGGGCGTCTTCTGAGGAGTCTCCTCGGAGGCTCCTTGCCTGCCGAGAAGCCGACCGCCTGTCTCCTGTCGGTCCGGTCTGTTTTTTTTGTTGTTTCATTTGTCGTTGTCCCTTTCTTTTTTGTTTTTTTGGTTCCTTGCGATCTGGCCCGTTTTTGTTCCTTGCCTGGCCCGCTTTTCTTTGTCGGCCCGCCCCGTGGTCCGAACAAGAGTTGCGGCGGCCCGCACTGCCACGCTGGCGAATATCCTCGGGGCCCGTCGCGAAGTCCACCGCCTTCTGAGAGGGCTGCTCCCTTCGCCCCGCGCTCTTGTGCGCGCTGCCAGCCGATCTCGGTATCGTGCCTCCCGTGCTGAGTGTGGGTTCTCCACCGGCCTGCGGTGGCATGGGGTACGATGGCGTTGCCAGTGGCCGCCTTGGCGGTCTTCCCCCTCTGCTGCGGCAGGGCGCAGTCGCGATGCTCGTGGCATCGGTGGCAGTTGTCATGATGGCCATCAGGTTCCTGCTCGCCACGTGCTGCTTGGCCGCTGCCAGGACCCTGAGCCAGGCATGGTCTGGTCCGGTTCCGCTTCGGTCCTGCTCCAGAAGAAGCCATTGCCATTATTCGGTCCCTGTTCCGGTTCGAAGAGAGCCTGGAGCGTCTGACCCGTGCATGCTGAGTCGGCGGCACGCGGCACCAGCAGAGGAGGCGCACGAGGAGGGCGGCGGGAGAAGGGAGGGATCACCATGGAGAGCGAGGGTCCTGAGAGAGGGGTCTGGGGGGTCCCAGACCTCGCGTCTTGAAACAATCTCCACCCATTTTCGGTCCCTGAGGTCCCTGCAGGGCCCCAGATCCGTCAAACAGTTCAACGGTATTCAGGATGAGAAGTCGGGCCCCGGGAGAAAGTTCAGACCTTGGGAGTCCACTCTGTGAGGAAATCATGACGTCGGAGGCCTGGGGGTCCAGAAGGAGGAGTCCTGAGGTTTCGCGCCGTCTTCGACCCAAGGGCGCCAGGATTGTCACAAATCTGGACGACAGAAATGTGAACGGACGGGATGGGAGCGACGACGAAAACCAAAAGCAGGCCCACTTGAGCAGACTTCGCTGTCGGAGGCAGACGCGGAGGATCAGACAACGGTTTTCAGACGCCTTCGATGTTCGATCTTGTTCGGTGCCGCTGGGGGCCTGGGGGCCTCGAGGGGATCTCCAGACCTCCGCTGAGCAATCCTGGAGGCCTAGGGGTTCTCCATCTCGGAAGAAAATTTGCACCACTACCACGAGCGGACCGTCTCCAGGAAGGAGGGCACTCCCCGCGCCGAGCTGGGCATGAGAAGACGTCTCGAACGGAACGCCGCACACGAGAGGGACCACACCACCAGGGGGACCCTCCCCAGCTCCTCGCGATAGTGGTGATGGTGGTGCCGAATTTCCCTGCTCCTATTCGAAAGGAAGGAGGGAGGGGAGGACGTGGAAGGGATGATGGAGGACGATGCTAGGACGGAGGATCGGTGCGATTTTCAGCACGAGCTATTTTAAAGGCGGTCGATATTCACTGCCACGGTCTGAGCTCCATTCGTAATGGTTGCTTGCTGAGACAGTCGTGCGTGTTTTTTTGTTCTAGGCTACAGCTGGAGAGCGTCGTGCTATCACCATCGAAAATGATCATGCGTCGTGCGTCGTCCTCACCTTCACTGCATCGTCGTCCTCGTCACAATCATCTGCCTCTTCCAAGATTACCCCCTGCCTTTCAGAAGGTAGCGGGGACCTCACCAGGTTCCCCCCATTGCTTTCTAAGAAGCCCTCCGCCTTCTCTGCGTCGTCCCCCCTCGAGAATCGGACCCTCAGAGCCGTCTTGGGCCGCGCTCCGACCCGGACTGCGGCGACCCCCGCCGCTCCCCTTTCACACCTGGAGGCCCGAACCAGCGGCAAGACAGACGTCATAGCCTTCTTCACTCACTTGTCGGCGTTGTCGTCATCTTCACTGCGTCCCCCTGGCATGTGCAAGTTCGTGCAGCGGTCATCGCGCTGTAGCGGTCACGTCGAATACATCCTCCGTCGTCCTCCCGATCCAGACCTCGGACCTCGTATCCTGGGTGCTGCTCACACCGCGGGCTCCAGGACTCTAAACCTCTTGTCCTGGGTAAAGTTTCTTGTCCTGGGCCTTTAAGTTGACGGCACAGGGGCCCGATAAGTGTCCCCCAGAGGCGGCGGGGCTTCTCAGAAGGCGGCGGGGCTTCATAGAATCCCTCTGGCCTTCTGAGAGTCCCCCTGTGGCGTCGGAGACGGCTTAGAAAGCTGATCGGAAAGCCGCAGGCCTTTTCAGCCTTCTGAGAACGTCCTCCCCCTCTGCCTTCCCCCTTGGGCGCGCCGCCTTTTCAAAGCCTTCCGCCGTAATATTTGTCAGAATGCGAAGAGGTCTGGGCTGGGAGGGCCCAGCAATGGCCAGAGGCGGCCAGACGGTACAGCCCGGAACGGCGTTGTGCGACGCATTATACATGCACCAATTCAAAATGGGCTCATTTTTTCAGAGGGACCCCCCGCTCTCTGATGATAACGATGGGATTTGTTCCAACCAACATGGTTCCTTGGAGTTGGGCTTCTGGGGCTCGCTATTGGTCCCCAGGACTAACAAACAGGGATCAAGCGCGAAACATTGGCCCCAGGGAAGTACAGGAACTGTGGCAGCAATGATGATCCAGATCACGCCGTTAAGCGGCCGCACCGTTTGCCCAGCCTTGGGAGTGTCCAAGTTTCCCAATCTGTGGTCCTAGTAGATGGGGGTGGGGGATCGCGCGCCCCAGATTGCCGATGCATCGGCGATGCGATTCGATGTGGAGTTTGAATTGTTCCACGTAGGAAACGGCGCAGATGCACTGCCGATTTTGTCGATGCATCGGCGATGCGACGCGAACCTCCGACCCCATCTACCCGCATCCCACTTGGGAGACGGGAGGCGCGGTATCTCGTGGACAACCGCGAGCTGAATGCGCAGAACCCTGGCATCGCGTGTCGGGCCAGCAAGAACATGAGCGACAGGACCGCTCCCCCCCCCCCCGCCCCCCCCGTCGGTGTTCTTGACGGGTGCCTGCTTTGCTGCTCCCGCGAGCGGGGATCAGGGAGGGCGCCCACACCCCCCTTCGACAAGGACGCGCTCGAGGGCGTGAAGTTATTCGCGCTTCGCGGTTCAGCTCCGATTCCTCCGCATCCTCCTCTTATCCTTGGGTGGGCAGCACGAGGGTGCGAAGTTAGGCGCCCTTGGTCGAACGGGGAGGGGGGGCGGGGGGTCGAGGAGCAGTAGGGGGAGGGGGGTCGTTTAGCGGGGGTGTGGGGGGGAGGTGGAGGGTGAGAGGCAGTGGGAGGAGCGAGGAGAAAGGAGCGGGGAGCGAGGAGTGAGGGCGAGGAGGAGGAGGAGGAGGGCAGAAGGGAGATGCGTGCGTGCGTGCGTGCGTGCGTGCGTGCTTGCGTGCGTGTGTGTGTGTGTGTGTGTGTGTGTGTGTGTGTGTGTGTGTGTGTGTGTGTGTGTGTGTGTGTGTGTGTGTGTGTGTGTGTGTGTGTGTGTGTGTGTGTGGTGTGCGTGCGTGCGTGCGTGCGTGCGTGCGTGCGTGCGTGCGTGCGTGCGTGCGTGCGTGCGTGTGTGTCGTGTGTGTGTGTGTGTGTGTGTGTGTGTGCGTGTGTGTGTGTGCGTGTGTGTGTGTGTGTGTGTGCGTGCGTGTGTGTGTGTGTGTGTGTGTGTGTGAGGTGTGTGTGTGTGTGTGAAATGGGGGACGTCGGTGGTTGCATTAAAAGCTTCTCGGCTCTCTTTCCAGTGGCTCTATCTTCACTCCCACCAGTCCATGATCCGAGGGGCTGCTGGGGGCGGGGCAGGGGAGGAAGCGTCAGGGCCACCGGCTCTTAAGGACTGCCCCCCCCCGAAGGTGCGCGTGGCCAGCCCCCACGCCAGGATCGCCTGCCGCCAAGCCCCCGAGCCCCGCATAACGAAAATCTGAAGTCAACTCCTCGGCTCTCTCTCTCTCTCTCTCTCTTTCTCGCTCTTCCTCTACCGCTGCTTGTCTACCCGGCGGGTTCCCCCACCACCTGCACCCTCGCCTCTTCTGCCGGACGTGGATCCGCCCGTTTGTCGAAACCCGTCGGTCTGCTACGGCCGACGCGTCATGGGGTCCTTGCCTTCAGCGGGTGTGCACACACGGGAGCTAGTCTGCATTGCGGGCGCCCCACTCGATTTCGTCTAGCGTTGATTGGTGTCATCGGCGCGTCGGAGAAAACTGTATGTGCGTGGAGGAGGGAGTGGGAAGGAGGGAGAGGATGAAAATGGAGGAGGGTGGAGGTAGGGTGGATGACGGAGGATGTGCGAGAGAGGAGGGAAGAGCGACGAGGAGGTGGAGGAATGAGGAGCGAGGAGTCAGGAGGTGTAGTGATCAGGGGGAGAAGGGAGATGAGAGATGTGAGAGGGGGAGGAGGACAGAGAAGGCGACGGAGGCAAAGGAGCTGGCACGGAAAAGCGCATCGACGGCAGTGAGTTGTTACAGTCGGGCTGCTCCCCCAGCACCGAGGCTGAGTTGCTCAACGCCTTCCTCGCGTCTCTGGCGGCAAGGACGGAGCCTTCACGGGTAGCAGCCACAGCAGCCAAAGCATTGAAGGAGCAGGCAGGCGTGACACCGATCTCGGCTGAGGAGCAGGTGGAACGCACTTTCGCTTCGGGGGCATGGAGGTATGCCAGCACGAAACACGAACACGCTGTGGCTGCGGTGGTGAAGTGCCGTGAAAGGTTGGCGAAGGCAGTCGAGCGCGAGGAGAATACAGCTACCGCCCTTGCCGAAGCCGAGCAGGCTCGCAAGAAGGCAACAACTTTTTTTTCCAGCAGGCGGCGGGTACTTCAGCGACGTCGGATGTTGACGGGGAGGCTCGTGGTGCGGTCTTTGACCGCACTTGGGGTGATTCTGTCTTTGCCGACTTGGAGTCGCTTGCGGGAATCGGCGCAAGTGCGAAGGAACAGTTGCTAAAGCGGAGGAGTTGAAGGGTTGCAAATCTCATGTCGCCGAGAAGGGTGACATCATCAACGAGCTTCTCCAGAAACCAAGACATTTGCATGAGGCCGTCACGGAACGCGTCAAAAAAAGAGGAGGGCTGACCAGCAGCCAGGGGACGTGAGTCAGACAGGAACGGCGCCTCCTGAGGCACCTCCCCCGCAGGCTGCGTCAGCTGCAACGGGGAATCAGCCAGGTGCGATGGAGGCAGATACGGCAGCGAAGGCAGCAGTTGACGCCGCAGTCAAGGCGGCTGCGGCTGCGCTGTCGGCGAAGAAGTTCGCGGAGGAGCAGGCCAAGCAGGGGCCGGCTGCGGCCGTGGCCAGCGTCGCGGCGGGCAGCAGGGCCAAGAAGTGGGACCAGCGAGGTGCCCCCTGGACGGCAGAGGCGGAGAAATCTTGGCATCTGAGCCTCCACAGGGGGAAGGCACTGGCCCCAGTGCCCCAGAAGTATTCGCGATGAGCCAGCTTATCTCAGCACGGCCCCTTTCACCAGCACCAGCGGTTACCAGTCCCACAGGAACGATCGCCAGTCCGACCCTTGTCCACTAGTGCGTCGAATTCGGCTGGGGTCACGTCGGCGGACACCTCTTCCAGCACCGCGGCAACGTCATCTGCGGCGGCTTCAGACACGCATTCGGCCCAGGCAATGGCGCGCGGCAGTGCAGGTGCAGGTGGCGCAACAATCATCTCGTCGACTTGTACGTCGACTGCGGCTGGGGCCTCGTCGGCGGACACTTCGCCCAGCAGCGCAGCAACGCCTGCAGCGACGGCTTTAGCACCTGGGGCCGAGGTTGTAGCACGTGGCGGCGCAAGGCCAGGCGATGCATGTTCCATTTTCGAAGTTCAGCATCGGGGTGCGCATCAGTTTTTCGCGTTCGCGGAGATCCACGCTGGCATCGACACTCGTTCAAAGTGGAGGGGTGGGTCTCGTAAGCAGGGATGAGGCTCATCGCAAGCATGGGCAGACCGTCGGGGGATGCGAGCGAGGAGTCCGTCCAGGCGCACCGCGCCAATGAGAGCCGCGAGTGGCTCCTCGCAGCGGGGCATCACAAGGTGCATCCGCTAGCTGGGGCCCAACATGCAGGCCTGCGAGCCAATCCACACAGTTCTTGCGACGTCTGCGTCGCTGCCGTAGCACATGTTCAAGGATTGTGTTATCTCACTGTTTATACATATAGAGGTATTTTAACATACGTTTAAATGTATAGATGCATGGCTTCGCAGGCCTTGGGCTCACAGGGTCAAACCTGGGCAGATACCATCGCGTTGGAGCACCAGTTAAACCGTTGAGACCCCCATGGTTCATCGTGGGCGATCTCAACATACCTAGACAAGCGTTCGCATTGCCATCTCCTGTTCGATGCATTGGAGGCGCCGTCGCTGCAGGATCGGTCGCCGCGCGCTGTGCTGCAAGCGCGGCGTCGTGCATCAAGCGCGCCCAGCAGCACGAGGCGCAAAGGTTTCCGCCTCGGGGCCGCGCGGCCAGCTGGCGGCAGCAGGGGCGCGCAGTCCTTCAGCGCGCACAAGCGCAGAGTCGAGGACAACGGTTGGGCGCAGCAACGGGCCCCGGTCCACGCGCGCTGGCGGCCAAGCGCGCAAGGCATCTGTTGCGTCGCTCGGATGGCTGGCAGACGCGCCAGCAAGGCTAGTCAACCGAGCCAGCGGGCGTGCGCTCACTCCATTGTTGAAGCAGTTTCGCGAGTTCGTCACGACCGCAGAAGCGTCGCCGGTTTTGTTTCGCAGCCTTCAGGAGACGCCAGGGCCGAGCATTGAGATCATTGGTGCAGAGAAGATATGTTGTATCATCCCGTGGACGCAGTGGACTACACGGCAAAGCGGTTCCATAAATTGTGGTCGCCGGCCACAGGTGATCGCAGCGAGGGAATGGATATCTGCCGGCGCGTGCGCCTCGATGATGATATGGAGCAATTTCGCGAGACCGCGGAGCAGGAGCTGGACTTCCCGCCCAGACGGACGGGGCCGAGAGCTGGACTTTGGGCTGACATTTTGACGGCCCTCGGCGCCCCGCGCCTGCCGAGCAAACAGCGGCGAGAGTCAGCCGACATCCTCAATCGCATCGGAAAATAAACGCGGCCGTGGCTGTTACTCGCAGTCACGGGGCAGGCCGTTGCCAACGAAGAAGCGAAGGTGACAGCATCACTATGTTCCTGCGCATGACGCGCAGGAAGATCCGCGAGGGACATGCCAGGCAGTGGATGGCGGCTGAAGGCGCGCAGCGGTGCGCGGCGCTGGCCGGCTCGACCATGCGCGAGGTTCGTCTCGCAACCCGTCGTGGAGAAGCTAGTTATCTCATGGCCAGTCATGCGCGTGTGAACACGACAATTGTTTTCTGATGCAGTATGCTGGCAAGGACTAGCCGAGCCAGCATGCGTTGCGAATGTTCCCCGGGTGGGTCTGACGTTGGAATTGCAGTTGTGCGCGGCAGTGCGCGCGTTCGCGCGGCTTGGCGATGCGTCGTGTGAATTGGGGGTTGCGCAGTCCATGGCGCGCGTTTTGCATAATGGGGCCAGGCTTGACAAGTGTCGCGCGTTTCATTCTTCGGTGGCGGACCGCAGCCCATCCACCACTGACGACGTGCATCTAGGTTCATGACCTGAATGAATCGACGGTGTCGGAGCGACGCGTGTTCCGCGCCACAGTCCAGTCCATCTCACATGCCTTGTTTTTTGTTCAAGCAAAATTGGTGGTCTATTCGAAAAGCTTGCTGGCGGTATCCGATCACGCGCTAGCATGAGGGATTGCGGCGGCTCTGCGCAGGGGAGGTCATATTGCAACCAGTGCTTTGAGCGCCAGATTTGCGGATCGATGTGGCGGCGGGCAGGACATTGGGCACGGCCGCGCAACGATGTCGCGCGGTCGCATCCAGCAGCCGCCGCGCCAAGATTTCGCTGGGGGCGCAAGCATGCGCGCAGTTGAAGGCGATGTCGAAACTGGAGATAGTCATTGCGCGAACGGTTGCACCCTGCGGCCGCAATGCGTTCGGCTCTTTTGGTTGTGGTTTGCAGCAGTTGCGGCGACGTCCGACATCGGCGCGCGGGGCCGACAATCGCGGAAGGCGCGCTGCCACCGCGCTGGACCTACGAGCACCAGAGCAGGACCCCGCCATGAAGCGAGGCCGCGACTGCCTCGCTGAATGGCTGATGCCAAAGTGTCGCGGACGGCGGGCAACGCCGTTAGATATTCAGCGGCCAACATTTTGCCGCAAGTGTTTGACGAATCCCGAGCGCTGGGCAGCGCAATGGGGCCCCGACGCGTCCGAGGGCCTTTGAGTACAGTCATCGCGTTGTTCTTGCATTACGGATGGGACTCTTGCGCGCCATCGCACTGGCGTTCCCTTCGCGACGGATGCACGGACGACGTGGTTGAGTGGATCTTCCCAGACGGACTTCACAGGGGCAGAATTTAGCGGACATGCTGGTCGATGTTGTGGCACGAGGCAGGACAAGGTTTTTTTTTGTGGTGAAGGAGCAGGCGAGGGAGTCGGACGCGAGTCGCGCCAGTTTTTCAGTCAGTCGCTAGCGGAGCCGATGCTGGCAATCGCGGTAGGAGGTGCGCGGCCAGATGTCCGATTCATGGTTGGTTGGCGTTCAGGAAGCGGACCAACAGTTTCGGACGTGTCCACGATGCTTGGCACTTGGAGATCCGAATGTTGAAAGACGGTGCCGCGCAAGCTGGGGTAAACGCCGCAAGAGGGACACGAACAACACGAGCAAGGATTATCATATTGCCTCTTGGCCGAAGCGGTGGTGCAGCATGAACCATATGCAGCGCCTTGGCATAGGGTCTCATCCCGAGGAGATGGACAGACCCCAAGGCCAATTGATGGTGAAGTTGGGGAATTTCATGACAACGTAGAAACATGTCGAAAAGTGCCGGTGTGGCTTGCTTACCGAGCATCCTTTTTTGTAGGCGTCGGCTGTGATTCTTCAGACATCTTCGTCCCCACGGCCTCGTTGTCCAGAGTCTTCGGCCGCGATCCCATGGACACGCGGTGAGCTTTGCGCGGATGTCCTGGGGCGTAGTCCGTGGGATCGCGCATCCGTGGGATCACGCCTCAGTCTCCTGGCCGCGAGGGTACCGTTACCCAGATGTTCGACGTAGCCCGGTCGAGAGCGGTTCTTGGACCCCGGCTGAGGTCCATCCGGGCCAGGCTTTCACCCTAGATTGATTATGTTGGTCCTGAGGACGGAAACAGACGCCGCAGGCAACGAATAATTTCGAGCCTCAATGTGATGTTCGATATGTCCATCTCTCGTGATGGATATTCATGGACCCCCCTCCACAAGATCCCCGGTCCTCCGCCCACAGGATGGACGAAGAGGTGCTGTGGGGAAACGTTGTCACCGGCGTCGACGAGGGCGATGGCTGGCTGAGGTGCCCCGGCTGGTGCGGCTGCGCTATCTTCCGCACTTTTCTCGGTGCCACGTTGGCGCCATCTTGAGATGCACGGGTGGGGCCCAGAAACCTGGGGACCCGAAGCACCAATCGCTTCAGTCGAGGTTGATCACTAGGTCGACGCAGCCAAATCAAAGGTACCTTTGTGTCCGGTGTTTCGCGACCCATGCCGTCTTAGAGTCCTGCGGCAACGTGCCCCTCGTAGGGTTCTTGCGTCTTCTCGCGTGTCCTCTCCAATCAGCCCCGACTGCAGCAGGAAGGAACCAGGTTCTGGTGCCGTCCACGGACGGCCTTTGAGGGCCTCCTTGGGGAAGCTTGGGGGCCGGTTTTCCTGATGAGGATGTCCCGCGAGGGCGCCGGTTTGGAATTCGTCGCCAGATTCGCCGGATTTCGCCGGATTCGCCGGATTTCCAGGATCTCGCCTGAAATTGAACAGGAGGGGCGGTCGGCGAGGTCATTGCCTCGCGCGCCAGGGGTCAGGATGACGTGAGTTCCGCAGAAACTCCATCAAACTAACATGAGTTGCGGGCCCAAGAGGAAGGGGGGTGCCGCTTGAGATTTCTTCGCATGTCACTCACACAGGAGGCTCTCGCTCGAGACTTCCGCCAAATTCAGGGCTGAGGGCCCCAAGAGTGACGACCGTTAAAAGAATCCGATGACCCGGTCGCATTCGTAACACGATCTGCGGCCCCAGCTCGAGATTTCCTCGCAATTCATTCACGCACGAGACCCCCGCTTGAGACTTCCTCCGTATCAAAGCTTGTTGATCCCAATAATGACGACAGTTACAAGGTTCCGATTGTCCGCTGGGATCCATAAAATGAGCTGCGGGCCCCATAGGGGAGACGGATCCCGCCTAAGACGTCCTCGCAATTGGCTCACAAACGATGTTTCCGTGCGAGATTTCCGCCATATCCGCGCCAGATGAGCCCAAGCTTGGTGGCAGTCACAGGAATCCGATGACCCTCTCGGATCAGTAGCATGAGCTGCGGGGCCCCAAAGGGTTGGGGGGCTCCTGCGTGAGAGCTCATCGCAATGCACCTACACACGAGTTTCCGGCTCGAGACTTCTCCCTATTCAGAAGTCGTGATCCCAAAAGAGTCGACAGTTACAGGGATTCGATGGCCCGTTCGGATTAGTAACAGTATTTGCGGGCGCCCTCACGAAGGGGCTCCCGTCTGAGGCTTCAACACATTTCCCTCATGATGATGTGGGGGTGTTCTTCCTGCGCGGGGGTGCCCAAACAAACATTGTGTGTTGTTGATGATGATGATGATGATGATGATGATGATGATGATGATGATGATGATGATAATGATTATGATGCGAATGATCATGAGGATGTTGATGATGATGGTGTTGATGATGACGATGATGGTGATGTTGGTGATATTGACAATGATGGTGATACTGGTGTTGACGAGGAGCATGAAAATAATGATGATGATGGTGCTGATGATGATGGTGGTGATGGTGATGATGATGCTGCTGATGATGATGATGGTGGTGGTGGCTGGTGGCAATCATGGTAGTATGGTACTGATGTTTGATGTTGTTGATGGTGATGTTGATGATGATGATGACGAAAACGATGGCGATGATGATGATGATGATGATGATGATGATGATGATGATGATCATCATCATCATGATCATGATGATCATGATGATGAGAATGATGACGAGGCTGATAATGAGGATGAGGATAATGATGATGCTGATGATGATGATGATGATGATGATGATGATGATGATGATGATGCTGATGATGATGATGGCGATGATGGCGATGATGGCGATGATGGTAATGGTGAGTGCGAGAACATGCTGAGGAGGAGAAGGGTTGTGAGGTGAGGTGTGAGGTGTGAAGACTGCCTGGGGTGTCCAGAGAAATCAAGAAACCCACTTGGGATGTGGGAGAACACACGTTCGTAGGTTCTCGCGGACATCTTGGATCCGCACTGGAACCGCCCCGACGGCGCCACCGGCGCCGCCCTTGGCGCGCTCTGCGTGCCAGGGACGGGGGTTCAGCGCCGATCCGAGGACTCCGCGCGAACCTCCAGAAGTCTACCCTGACATCCGCCGATGTAATTTTGCAGTCCGCGGCCCAGAGTCCCGACCCCCACGCAGGAGTCGCCGATGCGTCGCCGACGTCGCCGATGCATCGGCGATGCATCGGCGATGCATCGGCGATGCATCGGCGATGCATCGGCGATGTGGCGCGATCTCCCGACCTTGGAGCTGGCTCGGGGTCTGAGGTGGCCGAGCACTGTTTCCAGAGAGCTGGAAGGAGAGCAGGTTCGAGGTTCTGGTTTTGGGAATGATCTTCGGCCCTTTTCAACCTCTGGGGGCCATTTTCGGGCCCCCGGGACCATCAAAAACGGATCTGGGGTGAACAAGTGCAACAGACGGACCCAGGGAGGGGTCCATGGACAGATTTGGAGCGGATTTGGCTTCACCTCTGCGGCCCCAACCAGTTCAGACCCCCTGGCCGCCTCCAACTTCGACCCCATCTACTCGGAACCCATTCGGCGACCACACAAAGGGCGTAGTGATGTCGGGGTGTGGTTTCCGATCGGCGTCGTTTGGGCCTGGGGGCACGACCTTGCCCTCGGCGGGCCTCCTCGGGGCGCGGCGGAGAGCTCCGTCGAGGTCCTCGCCCGCCCCCCAGGATGTCCCCCATGGTGCCCGTTGCAAACCACACCCTTTGCAAACCACACCCTTCGGAGTCGCCAACCCATTTGGGAGGGTCTTTCCTAGGGCCCTCGCTTGCTCGTCATGTTCGGGCCTTCGTTCGGTCCCGTACTGCTGGGAGTCAGCGCTTGACTCTAACCCACGTCCAAAACAAGACCCATTTGGGAGGCCTCTGCCTGTGCCGAGGAGGCCTTGGGCCTCCCAGATGGAGTCGGATTTGATGGGGGTCGGAGGCCACGCCGCATTCTCTCAGGAGAGGAAGCATCACAGGCACAACAAACCTTCGATTACAAGGGACAGATGGAACATATAGAAAGTGGAGGGGAAGGCAAACCCTAAAACATGTAGTCGATATGGGGAACCCTAGGAGTTGAGTGTATTTATTTAATCGCTTCGCTCATTCCGCCGGCCCATATTGTCGCACCGTTGTGGGCTAGCCGAGTTTTGGGGGCCGTTTTGGGGCCTCTTGGGGCCTCTTTTGGGCCTCTTGGGCGCCTCTTGGGGCGTCTTGGGGGCCTCTTGGGGGCCTCTTGGGGCCTTTTTGGGGCCTCCTGGGCGCCTTCTGGGGCGGAGGGCTCGATTTTTCAGTTCTCGGTTCCCCTCTTGAGCCCCTCTTGGGCCCGTCTTGGGGCCTATTGGTCCGTCTTGGGCGGCACTTGGGCCGTCTTGGGGGCCCTCCTGGGCCGTTCCGGGGCCGTCTTGGGAGCCTCGTGGGCCGTCTTGGAGCGGTCTTGGGGGCCTCTTGGGCCGTCTTGGAGTCGTCCGGAAGCCGAAAAAGCCAGAACACAAAAAACATGAAAATGAAAATCAACGATTTTGGCCTCTTGGGGCTCTCTTCGGAGGCCTCTTGGAAGGCTCTTGGGGCGTCTTGGAGGCCTCTTGGGCTGTCTTGGGGGCCTTTTGGGCCGTCTTGGGGTCATCTTCGGCGTCTTCGAGCGCTCTTTGGGCGTCTCGGGGGCCTCTTGGGCAGTCTTGGGGGCCTCTTGGGGCACTCTGAGCGCGCTCTGGGGAGCCTGAGAGGCCGCACCCAGAAGGAAAACCATCTCTGAGTAGACTTGGTCGGGCGGCGGTCGGGGTACTTTTCGCCGGGGGACCCCCAGGGGCCGCCCCGCGCGCGCGAACTAGAAATACTGTTAATACTGTTAACCAGTTACCGGAGATCTTAGCACGCCCTGGCCCGTTGGGCCGGCGAATTTGTCCCCTTCGATCGCTGATACATCGGCGATGAGGATCGATGTGGAGCCCAACGTTCTCCACGCCGGAGGTGCTGATGTGTCGCCGACATCGACGATGCATCGCCGACGCATCGGCGATGCGGCGCGATCCTCTGACCCCAATCGATTTATTTCGACCCCATCTAGGAGGCCTCTAGCAGTGCAGGCCACATGGCGATTCGATGTTGATTTCCTGGCGATCCGATGCCGCCCGATGTTTACACGGCGCTGATATACATATTGTGGCAGCCGATCCGATTCGGTGTCGACCCCTGTGCAGAGGTACCTCGATCCGACGCACATTCAGAATCGATACGATTTCCGGGTTCGATGCTGACCGATCTTGCAGTGACAGCGGACTTCGCGCGTGGAGTCCACAAGCCGCCGTGAGGAGTGTACAAGAGAGAGATGGAGAGAGAGAGAGAGAGAGAGACCTTGAGATCTTGGCGCTGCAATTGTTTCACAGCAGGCGTCCAGTTTCGGGCCCCAGGACCTTCACATATCGATCCGACTCGAGGCTTGGCAAAAGTATGGAGTCCAGGGCTCCGTGGTTTATTGCGATGCTGCAAGTCAGATCTGAGGAAAGTGGGAAGAGGGAAGAGTATCTATATATATATAGAGAGAGAGAGAGAGAGAACAGAAATGAGAGAGGCAGAGAGACAGAGAGAGATACAGAGAGGGACAGGGCACATGAGGTGCGCGCTGGGAGGGTGCCAGACGACGCGGTGCAGGCAAGCCACTGAGCCATGCGCTCCCTGCCCTCAGGTAGGGCCCCTGTGAGAGAAGCCTCCGGGCCCTCCTGCGAGGCCTCCCGGCCTTCTCTGCGCCACTCCCAGCGACGTGCGAGCGAGGGCCGACGGATCGATGCATCTTCTCGTCGCCGTGCTCGTCGTCGTCTTCGACGTCGTTTCAGTCGCTGTCCTCGTCGCCGTGGTCGTTGCCAATGTCGCCGTCGTCCCTCCGTCCGTCTGGCGTCGTCGCCTTTGGCGTCTCGTTGGCGGAGGCTGATGGAGCGCTATCTCCCGATGGTGCTGGACGGGCAGCCCGCGCTCGTGCCTGCAGCCAATGGCCAGGGAAGGGGTTGATAGAGGAGGATCGGGGTTGGAGCTGTCTGGGGGTCTGAGGTGGCCGTGCATTGGTCCAGGCGAGCAGAAACTCGTGTCGGCCTCCTGGGGCCGTTTTCGGGCCCCAGGACCGTCAAAAAAGGATCCAGGATCACAGTTTACACCACATGAACCCCGGGAGGGGTCCTGGGACCGATTTTGAACGGATTTGGTTTCAGCCCCCCCCCCCCGACAGATTTTCAAGGGTCCCAACCAGTGCAGACCCCCTGGCCGCCTCCAAGGTAGAGGAGGATCGATGTCCTGGTCCACGGGTCACGTTGTTGCTCCGTGTGCTCCAGGCCTCCAGCGGCCTCGTCGCCACGGCTGGATCCGCCTCGAAACTCGGGTCAGAACGCGCCCCAAGGAAAGGTCCATTGGCAGATTTTTGGGAGCAGAGGAGGAGGAGGAGGAGGAGGTGGAGGAGGGGGAGGAGGATGGGAAACTGAAAGCTGCTACTGGCTGCCAGATCCCCGGCTAAGCTCCTTGGCCGAGCCTCGCAGCGCATCTCTCGCCTCGCCACGCCCCTCGGCCTCGACGGGGACGCAGAGCACCAGCGGCCTCGGAGGACCACACCCCCGGAGAAGGGACCGGGAAAGGGGGGGCCGGAGGGACGGGGGGGAGGGGCGTGGTGCCCCTGCCTCACAGGGGCGCGCTGCCCTGCTGAGGCGGGCGCCTCACGACCTCGGAGGCCCACTCGAAGTGGACCACGGCACGCTGGACGACCAAGAAGCGCTCCGTCGTAGCGCTCTGGCCTCTCTCGAGGAGCCCCGTCACGGCCTCGTTGGCGGCGAGCGGCTGGCTCCTCGCCATAGCCTCGAGCTCGCCGAGGCTGCACATCGCGACATCCACCTCGGCTTCCGCCGGCTGCGCCTCCAGAGCCGGGAAGGGTGGCACGGTATACTCCTCGTTCGCGCCGTCGTCTAATTCGAACTCCGAGCCTGCGACCACCAGATTGGCCAGGGATGAGGCCTCCTCATCCGCCTCTCGGGCGCCGAAGATGTGCGGCTGGGAGCCGCCGAAAACGTTTTCCAAGTTGTACTGCGCCCTGAAGCCGTCCTGCTCGTCGACATCAGAGTCGGGGCGCAGGGTGAAGGGCTGCGGCCCTGTGCTGCTTACTTGCTAGGAGGGGGAGGAGGAGAAGGAGGAGGAGGAGGAGGAGGAGGAGGAGGAGGGGATGGAGGAGGACATTGTGGAAAAGGATGGAAGCAGATGCCCACAATTTTAATCGATTCGACGGTGCGCAGCTACATCTGGGGACGGGTGGCACCGATCTGCGTCCAGACCCCGAAGGGCCTCCGCACTCCCCACGGATGGCGTTCGACTCCGCCGAATTGGTTTGTTCTCAACCATGGGACAGAAAGCTGGGACCCCCACAGGGGCGCGGGAGGCGGTCGCGCTTCGCGGTTGGCATTGGGGAGTTGTCGTGGGTGTGGCGCGCGATCGAGAAGGCAACTCACGAGCGGCCACTCCCTCGCCGTCTGGATTCCGTCGCGCTATCTCACGGATGCGCAGTCGCACGGATACGTTCCGCGCGGGGCATTCGCAGAGAAAGCGCACCGTATCCGCGGGGAGGCGGCCCAGGGGCTCGGCCCGCGAGGCCGCGGGTACGGAGTTTGTTCTTCGCCACCGAGCAACCGCGCTACGCGTGTCTCTTGTCCTCGCGTACGGTAGCTTAGTGTCGTGTCGACCGGCGGCGACCCCGCCAGCGGCGTTCAACCTTGAACGCCGCGGGCGACCCAGAATCGTTCGATGTGGAACGATTTGGACGTTTCGGAAACGGCCGATCGTTCAAGGTTGAACGATCCCCGCGGTGTCAGAAACCAACGCCGGGGTCGACACGACGCGAACCTGCCGTAGCTTGTCGGCGAGGTTGGCGTTCGACGCCACCAGCACGTACACCTTATTGGCAATGGTGATGGGTATTTGCCAGTCTGGCGTTAAGGCAAGGGCTGAGCGTGAATGCACCCATCTCGCCATCCCCCGCGCCTGAGTGCACGATCATCAAGCGGAACAGTGCGAACATGCCCCCCGACCACCTAGACATGGCCAGGGCACGACTCCTGTCGCAACATGTCCTCGCAGAAGTTGAGACCTCTCCCAGCAGCTCCCGAAGTTATGAGGTCAAGAAGGTGTCCGTTCCGCACCGTGCTGGGAGTTGCCTACTCGTCGAACTGTTCGTTCGCCTGTCTTACATCCTTCAGGACCAGGCTGGTTTGTTTTGCTATGCGTTTCCTTTTCCTCCCAGGACGAAGACGAGATGGGAAGGAAGTGGATGAGAGGAGGACGAGCAGGAGGAGGGGGAGGAGGCGGAAGAGGAGATGAGAGGAGAGATGGGAGACGAGGGATGAGGAGGGGGAGGAGGAGAAGGAGGAAGCGAAGGAGGAAGGGGGGAGGAGAGAGAGTAACGAGGAGCAGGCTTGGGAATGGAAGGGGCAGTGAGGGGGAACGAGCAGTAGATGGGTGAGAAGGTAGCATCGAGAGGAAAGAGGCAGGAGGAGGAAAAGGCGATGAGAAAGCACATGTGGCCACACACTTGGTACGGCGATCGGCACTCTGCGTTTTGCTTCTGCTGTTGCTCGGCCTGCTCCGAACTAAGTTCACGCTTTAGCCTGCGATATCGTATTTTTCTCCGCGTTATTCAATCGCTTCGCTCATTCCGCCGGCACATATTGCAGCATCACTGGCGCTTGCCTGCGTGCCCGGGGGGTATTTGGGGGGCCTCCTGGGGCCGGTTGGGGGCTTCTTGGGAGCTTCCTGAGAGCCTCTGGGGGGTCTCTTGGGGCCTCTTAGGGGCCTCTTGGGACCTCCTGGGGGCTTCTTGGGGCCGAGGGCTGGAAATGTTGTTTCGTGTTCCCCCTCTTGGGGCGTTCTTGGGGCCCTCTTGGGCCGTCTTGGAGACCTCTTGGGCCGTCTTGGAGCCCTCTTGGGCCGTCTTGGGGCTCTCTTGGGGGCCTCTTAAGCCCTCTTGGGGCGATCTTGGAGTCGTCTTGGGCTGTCTTGGGGCTTCGGGAAGCGGAAAAGGTGGAAAAGCCAAAATATGTCCAAAACCTAAGGAAAAGCAATGAATTTTGCCTCTTGGGGCCCTCTTGGGAGTACGCTTGGAGACCTCTTGGAGCGTCTGGGGGCCATCTTGGGCGTCTTGGAGCGATCTTGTGGCATCTCGGACGCCTCGTGTACCATCTTGGGGACCTCTTGCGGGCCTCTTGGTTTTGTTTGGGTCCTCGGGGACGTTTTCGGAGCCCTGTTGGTGCGCTCGTGGAGCGCTCGGGGGGACCCGGCCGGGGACCGGCCGGGACCTGGTCGGGGTACTTTTCGTCTGGGGACCCCCAGGGGCCGCCCCGCGCGCGCGAAGTAGAAACATTGTAGAGCAGTTACTGGAGATCTTAGCACGCCTCTGGCCCGTTGGGCCGGCGAATTTTCTTTCGCTGTCGCTGCGAACGGAGAATGCGGATGACGGGTCGGATGAGAGAAGCGGGATGAGAGGAGAACGGGAGGAGGAGGAGGAGGATGGAGGAGAGGAGGAGTAGGAAACGGGAAAGAGGAGGAGGAGAAGGACGAGGAGGAGGAGGAGGAGAAGAGGAGGGAGATGAGGGAGGGAGGGGGATGAGGACGAGGTAAACTTGAATTCCGCTTCTCATCCTGATTCCCAGATGGCCCTGGAGGTCTCCAGAGACCTCCATGGGCGCGAAAAGGGCCAACCGCTTTCAGACACATTGGAAGACCTTCGTCCTCGATCCTGGGGGGGGGGGGGGCAAGTGCAACAGTTTCGTGGAGGGAAGAGAGGGTGAGAAGGGCGAAGCTATGTGCGCACGCGCCATGTTTGACATCCTACCCACCCATCCCTTCCCATTTCGCTCTTTGTTTTTCTATCCGCCGACGGGTGTCCTGGCGTACCTGCTTCCGCCGAATGCCACATTCGTGCGATACGGAGACAGGAATCGGACTTGTCTACATATGAGGGGGAGTAAGAGGACGAAGAGGAGAATGAGGAGGAGGAGGAGGAGTAGGAAGAGGAGGCGGAAGAGGAGGAGAAGGAGAAGGAGAGCAGGAGAAGGGGGGGGAAGAGGAGGAGGAGGAGGAGCAGGATGGGGAGAAGGAAAAGGAGCAGCAGCAGCAGCAGGAGTAAGTAGGACGCGCGGGATGAGCAGGAGGACCAGGGGGGGCGGGGAGGGGACGGAAGGACGGCGGCAATCGGATCCTGAAGTGTGGCCCTCTCTGGGGCGAGACCGCCCTCTCCGAATGATGCAAGCAAATGGCCGATCCTGAAAAACAGCTAACGCTGCAGCGGGGGCAGACCGTTCGGAGAACAGACCAACCGTTCCGATTGGTGCAGCGCATATCGCACGATAGTTGTTGGGATCCCGCGGCGGGAGAGGCGGGGCCCCGAACGCACGGGTTCATGATGATGATGATGATGTTGACGATGATGTTGACGATGATGATGATGATGATGATGATGATGATGATGATGATGATGATGATGATGATGATGATGATGCTGCTGATGATGATGATGATGATGATGATGATGATGATGATGATGATGATGATGATGATGATGATGCTGATGATGATGATGATGATGCTGATGCTGAGCTGATGCTGATGCTGATGCTGATGCTGATGATGCTGATGCTGATGCTGATGCTGATGATGATGGATGATGATGATGATGATGATGATGATGATGATGATGATGATGATGGATGGTGGTGGTGGTGGTGGTGATGGTGATGGTGATGGTGATGGTGATGGTGATGGTGATGGTGATGGTGATGGTGATGGTGATGATGTTGTTGTTGATGATGATGATGATGATGATGATGATGATGATGATGATGATGATGATGATGATGATGACTATGACAATGAGGAGGAGGAGGAGGAGTAGGAAAGGGACGGGGCGGATGATGTTGATGATGATGATGATGAGGAGGAGGAGGAGGAGGAGGAGGAGGAGGAGGAGGAGGAGAAGAGGAAGGGGTGGGGGAGGGGGAAGGAGGAAGGAGGAGGGGAGGAGGTGGATGAAAAGGAGGAGCACATAGGGATGTTAGCGCGTTGGGCGCCCCGTCTCGCCTTGCGGCCCTCTCTCTGCTTGCATGGAAAAGCCACTGCTCCTAAACTCAGACGAGCGACGCAGAACAACGGGTCGATTGCGCCGACATTCGCGAGTAAGTTGCTCGCGTAAGGTCTCGCGTCAGCGCTCTCGTTTTCAAAGTAGCGTTCCACGCCAGCTGCCCGCGTAAGGTGCGGCGTAGGGTCGCTATGCCGTCTCGCGTAAGACCCGTTCCTGATCGTCGCTCCGATGTCTGAGGAGGGATGAGGATCAGATGAGGGCCAGTTGAGATCACGGCGAACCTCCCGCCTAGCCCGAATCCGCTCACAGCGGGCACTTCGGACTTCCACTGGGCCTCATGCTGAGCCGTTTTCCGAGGCGGGCACCGCCGCGGCGACGAGAAGCCTCCAGGGGGCCCAGAAGGGGCGAGAAGCTTCCAGGGGGGCCCAGAAAGAGGAGGAGGCGAGGAGAAGGAGGAGGTGGAGGAGGAGGAGGAGGAAGGGGGAAGGGGAAGGGGAGGTGGAGGAGGAGGAAAAGGAGGAGAGGAGGAGGGAGGGAGGAGGAGGAGGAGGAGGAGGAGGAGGGGAGGACAAGACAGCAGCGCCGGAGAGGGCCGCCGTGGTCTCGCCGGGCCCCCCCCCATCGACAGGAAGGGCGAGCAGGAGGAGCGCGCCTCCTCCTCCTCGCTCCTCCTCCTCCTCCCCCTCCTCCCCGCCCCCGCCCCGCATCTCCACGCTGGGAGGTCCAGACCTGGAGGACGGCCGCGATCGTGAGTACATAGTGGACAACACCAGCTGTGACTCCCAGGCCTCGCTGGGCGAGGGGGGGGGGGGGGGGAAGGGCTTGTTGGCCCCACTTGCGACATCCTGGAGAACGCCGTATCAAAGATTCGCGATATTAAGAAATGACTAGGGGAAGCGCTTGACCAAATAGTGCTCACCAGACAGGTTTCAGGTAATGAACAGGACTCACCGCCACCAAGACTTTCTCGTCAGTTTCCGCCGCGGAAGCACTCGGCAAGATCGCCGAAATCAAGGCTATGCTGCGCTAGTTTCAAACACTTGGTTTTGTTAGGCCGTCACTGTGGATCCGCAGTGCTGCTCGTCCGCCGCCTTTTTCTTGCTGTTTCTGTCCTCCTTGTTCTCAACTTCCTTCATGCTTCGTGTTTCTGAGTTCTCTTCTGAATCGGCAATCTCCCGCGTCCTCGTTTCGCTCCACTTCGACATGGCCGCATGCGTTGTCAACGTCGCCGGCGTCGTCTTTTCCGCTGCCGCCATCGCCGTCGTCGCTTTATGGCGGGCCCTCGGTTCGCGAGCGCCCTGTGGGGGGTTCCCGGCCAGGCTTTTTCGACCTCCCCTGTCTCATTTTCCTCCCCCCGTTCATCCTTCTCGCCCCCTTCGCCCCCTCCCTTTTTCCTCCGTCCTCTTCCTCCGCCCCCCCCCTCCTCCTTCCTCTCTCGCGCCTGCTCCTTGTTCCCCCCCTCGTTCCCCGCGCGCCCTGCGTGCCCGCCCCGTCTCGGGCGCCAGCGCGCCCGGGAAGTGGCGCCCGGATGGCGGTGCCCGGAAGTGGCGTGAGCCAGAAAGTTTGCGCGCCCCGGAAGTTTCGCCAAAAATTATCGCGCGAGCCCGCTCGCATAAGAATTCCCGGCGAGGCTTCGCAGGAATACTTGGTGCAACACCCCGGAAGGTCACCCCCATTTTGATGGGTGTGAAGTTATAAATAGTTATAGTATAGGTAAGTGGTTCTTTTTTAGGAGAGGTTTGGATGAGTTAGGATTGGTTAGGAGGCCCAATCGGTTCCATAGGAATGCCGATCGTGTAGTCCCCGATAGTCCCCCCCGTGTTTCACTATAGGATCTATAGGAGCTTACAGTGTCCTATCATCAGCTGAACTTGGAATCCCTAAACATATGTTTTTTGTTTATATAAATATTTTTTTTCATTTTTCAAACTATTTTTTATTATTTTTCATTATTTTCACTCTCTATCACTATTTTTTAGTATTTTTCACTATTTTTCAGTTTTTTGAATTTTTTTCCAGAATTCAGACATTGAAACAAGTCTGACCGACGCCAGAACGTTGTGCTCCAAGGGAGAAGAAGGAGAAGGAGGAGGGAGGAGGAGGTGTTCACCTCCTCCTCCTCCTCCTCCTCCTCCTCCTCTTCCTCGTCCCCCTCCTCCTCCTCCTCCTCCTCCTCCTCCTCCTCCTCCTCCTCTGCCCCCTCCTCCCCTTCCTCCTCGGCGCCCCTCTTGGGGCTCTCGGCACCCCCGTGGTGCTGGCCCTCCTGGGCCTCGGCACCCCCAAATCCGAAGCTCCGAAGGTCCTCCCATTCCTCTTCCCCCTCCTCCTCTTCCTCCCCCTTCTCCTCCTCCTACCCCTCCTCCTCTATCCTCTTTCCCCTCCTCCTCCCCCTCCTCCTCCCCCCTCCTCCTTCTCCTCCCTCCTCTATCATTTTCCCCTCCTCCTTTCCCCTCCCCTCACCCCCCTCCTCCTCCCCCTCGTCCTCCCTCTCCCCCTCCTTTCCTCTCCTCCCCCCCCCCTCCTCCTCTATCCTCTTGCCGCTCCTCCTCCTCCCCCTCCTCCCCCCCCCCCCCCCCCCCCCGCACCCCTCCCCTCTCCCCCATCCCCTCCTCCCCTTCCCATTGGCAGCAGGCTGGATGTTAGCTGGATGTTGTCTGGGTGTTGTTTTCATGCTGTGTTTGTGTTGGTTTTTGTTGTTTTTGTGTTTTGTTTAATGTTGTTTTTTATGTTGTTGTTTTGTTGATGTTGTGATGTCTTGTAGGGCGGGCGCCAGACAACACCAGACAACACAACAACAACACAACAACAACAAAAGACAACAACAAAACAACATGTTGTTTTTTGTTGTGTTTGTGTTGTTGTATGTTGTTATTTGTTGTTTTTTGTTGTTTTTGTGTTGTATTTTGTTGTCTGGTGTTGTCTTCTCTCTTTTTTTTTTTTTTTTTTTTTTTTTTTTTTTAAAAAAAAAAAAAAGTTTTTTGTTGTTTCGCCCCCCCCCCCTGTTTTTTTTTGTTGTTTTGTTCCCCCCCCCCGTTTTTTTTTTTTTTTTTTTTTTTTTTTTGTGTTGATGTTTTCCCGTTTTTTTTGTTTCTTCTTCTTTCCTCTTCTGACTATTGTTACCCCCCCCCCGCCCTCCGCCACCTCCCTCATCCGTTTCCTCCTCCCTCCTCAGCGGGCCAACCGCTTTGCGTTCGCTCCCCTCCTGCCTCCCCATTCTGCTCCTCAGCGGCCCAACCGCTTTGCATGGGAGGAGGAAGAGGAGGAAGAGGAGGAGGAGGAGGAGGAGGAGGAGGAGGAGGAGGAGGAGGACAGGATAACGATTTCGTCGCAGCCGCTTTTGGCTTCAAGTTTTTTCAATTCGCCCAACCGAATTCGAGAATTCGTTAAATGGCTGCCTGGGGTCCTCGCTGCGCCACGTGCGGCGCCCTCGGCCCCGCAGCCAACATGGACGCGATCCAAAACGAAAGTTCTGAAGCGGCCAAACCGCTGCACTGTGCAACTTGCAATGTAAAAGCGGTCTGCCGCTGCGGAAAGTCAGGAGAGAAAGGAGGAGAAGCAAGCGGGTTTGTGATTTTTCTTAGACTTTGCATATTTTTCATTTTCGCTATTTGTTTCACTATTTTTCACTATTTTTCACAATTTTCACTATGTTTACTATTTTCACTATTTAACGCTATTGTTTTCATTATTTGTCACTATAGTTTACTTGTTTTCATATTTTTTACTACATGTTGATAGGATCCTATAGTGCACAATACATATATTTAGTGTTTTATGATACCCGCACCCATCAAAGCAGGCCCCCCTCGCGGCGCCGCGAGGGCCTTCGCGGATTGGCGGCGGCGCGCCGGCCGCGCGGAAGTTCCGGCGCACGACCGCCGCAGCCTGGAAGTCCGCTTGGAAGTTTCGTCGGGGGGAGAGGGGGGGAGGGGGGGGGGAAATGCTTGTTCGCTCGATCCTGGCTCGTCAGCCCCGCCCCCCCTCCTACTCCACCAGCGCCTTCCCCCTCCTCCTCTTCCCCCCCCCTTCCTCCTCCGTCCGCCCCCCCCCCCGTTGTCCCCCCCCCTCTTCGCCCTCCTTCTCCGCCCCTCCGATCTTTCCCCCCCCTCCCCCACCGCCCTCTTTTTCTTGCCGCCCTCCACCCCTCGCCTTGCGCTCTCCTCCTCCCTTCGCCTTCTTCGCCCCCCCTTGTCGTCGCCCCCCTCGCCTCGCCGGCGCGCGCGCGCGCGGGGGTGCAAGGAAGGCGGCCCCCTCTAACGCTCGCCCACATCAACCTGGCGAACCCTTCGATGCCCGACTCCTCGGTACCTTGCGATTCGTCTCTCTGATCGTCGTGGTCGGCGTCGCCTGGCGATTTGCTGCGCGCGCAGGGCATGTGGCCCTTCGGGTTTCTGGATTCTGCGGTTTTGTTTTCGATGGTTTTACTGACGCGAAGGCGTATTCACCCAGTGCTTTCGAGGTCGTCAAGGCCGGAATATTCGACGGTGAGATCGCTGGTTTTCATCGTCCATTCGTGCCGCGGCAACCCTTTCGGGGGGAAAAATCGGCGTCGGAAATGGATGCGTTGCATTTCCGGCGGGGTTCTCTAGGATGGCGCTAGAGGGGCCGACGAGGGGAAGGGCGCCCCAGGGGCTCAGGCCTCCTAGGCGGGGTCGGAGTAGACGGCGTCGGAGGATCGCGCCGCGTCGCCGACGCGTCGGCGACGCGTCGGAGATGCGCTTCGACGCGGAGCCAAATTCCGCGCCGACGGCGCCGATGCATCGCCGACGTCGCCAGTGCGTCGCCAACGCGTCGCCGACGCGGCGCGATCCTTGGGCCCCTGTTCTACCGCTAATTTCGCGCGCCGTTGGCAGTCCACGGCGCCCTTCGAGCGATTCGCGCGCAACCTGCGCGCGACGCGCGAACGACCCGAGCGACGCGCGTGCGACGCACGCGCGACGCACGCGCGACGCGCGCGCGACGCACCCCGACCCGCGCGCGACGCACCCCCGCCGGCGCGCGACGCACGCGCGACGCACGCGCGACGCATGCGCGACGCAGTCGCGACCTTGCCCGTCCCTGGCATTTCTTCCAAAAGCAGTGCGCAACGGCCGTCGGCCCGCCGCGCTTGCGCTGTTCGCAAGCGGCGGCGACTGCGCCCCCCCATTGCGCCAGGAAAGGCGGCGCTTCGCCCCTGTTCCTTCCCTTTTCCTTCCTCGTCGCCCACCCCCCTCCTTCGTCATTCCTCCTCCTTCGTCCTCCCTGCTGCCTCGTTTCCTTACCTCCTCCTCCTCTTCTCCTCCTCTTCTTTCCCGGCCCCCCTCTGCCTGTCCCTCCCCCTCCTCTCTTGTCTTTGTTTCTCCCCTTGCCACCCCGTGCCCCTCTTCATTTTCTTTCTTCTCCTTCGGCCCCCATTTCGCGGCCGCGGCGCGGGGCCGCGAGCGGCGCCCCCGCCTTCTGTGAAACGCCCCGCCGCTGGCTGTGGAAAATGAAGACCACAAGGAGAAAAGGAGGTGGGCGGGGCAGGGGCGCGAGGCGAGCGCGGCGGCACGGGCGGCCCAGCGGGGGAAATGAGGGGGGGGCGGAGCGGGCGGGTCCTTCTGCAATGGTCATGTTGGTGATCATGGTCGCAGTCACGTTTGTCGCATTGGTCGCGCTGCTGGTGGTGGGCGGGCTGGTGGTGGTCACGTCGGTGATCGTGCTGGCGTCGGTCGTCGTGGTGGTCGCGAGAAGCGCGGTGGTCGCGGTGGTGGCGGCGGTAAATGGTGGCGGTCGCAATCGTCGCGGTGGGCGCGGTTGCGGTCGCGGCCGTTTGTGGTGATCGTGGCGGTGGTAGTCCTGGCGCTGGCGGCGGTCGCGGCGGCTGCGGCGGCGGCTGCGGGGACCTGCTGACCTAGCGCCGGGGTGCTTTCAGCAGCATCGCGGCATTTGTAATGATAAGGGGATTTGCTGATCTGCCGAGGTAGCCCAGCGGCCGCCTTCTCGCCAAGGGGGTCGCTGCGTGGGCGACTTTTCCCCGAAAGGGGCCCGCCGTTTCGGCGGCCGTGGAGCGGGCGACGCGCGTGCGATCCGCCACGCGTTGCCCGCCGCGCTAGCGACACACTCGCCGCATGGCCCCCTTGCGAGGGCGACGTGCGCGTTCGCGAGGACGGTGGGCCGTTTCGGCGGCCGACGCGCGGGCGGCGCACGGGCGACGCGTGCGCGACGCAACCTTTGCGCCTTGTCGCGAAGGGGGGGGGGTCAGCACGCCGGTCGCATTACTGGGTCTTGACCGCCGAGTGCGAGCCCGACGACAGCAGGACCGACTACGTCGACCTCGAGTTCGATCAGTTCGAGTGCACCGACTGGGAGCAGCGTAAGTTTGCCGATTCCGAGAACATCGATTGAGCCGACGGCGAGGTTAGGGGGCCGGAGGGGGGGGGGGTCCGATAGCGAGCCGAGCGACGCCAGCGAGCTCTGGGGCCACGCCCCCTTCTTCCGCAGACGCGCCCGGACCGCAGTGCCCTGGGCCCAGGGCCGAGGATCTTTCGATCCCAAGCCAGTTTCCAATTTCCATGTTCACCGTCTGATTCCAGAATAGCGAGTTGCAGGGCAACGCGCGTTCTTCGTGCACGACTTGCGGCTGTTGCGCCGCCCCGCCGTGCGAGCCCAAGTTTTGCGCTGCGCCTGTCAGAGGCCCCAGTAGTTCAAAAAGATCACCATCGTGGTGGAGAGCGCGGGCCCCTCGCGCGAATCGGGGGGGGGGGGGGGCGCGTGACGCGTCGAGTCGATCGCCGGGGGCGTGCCCGCCCGAAGGCCGAGATCGTTGCTTTCTGCGAGACGCGGAGCATCGCGCTATTTGACTGGGCGGCGAGCACGCGGGCGGTCGACCTGCAGCAGGCACCCAAGCAGTTCGACTTGAGTCTGAGCGAGAAGACCGTGGACAGGGGCCCCTCTGGCGCAGGCTTGGGCGGGCAAGAAAGTCACGTTTGGACAGGAGTTCAAGGGGGGGCAGTCCTGGGGGTCCACCTGGACGACCGGGCCTGCGCCGGCCACGAACGTCAACGACGCGATGAGGCAGTTCATGAGCTACGCCGATGCGAGGAACAAGATCGACCGGCAGGTGGCGCAGGGGCGGCGCGCGCCGTCGCGGCAGTCATGGCAGAGCCCCGACCGCGCAAGAGCGGCCTGCGCTCGAAGGCGAAGACCAGGAGGCGGCGAGCCCGTCGAGGCCGGGCTCCAGGACGGCCGACAGCCATCGGGAGAGGCGCCATTTGGGGGCGACTTGCGGGAGGACGGATATGTTAAAAGTTCCCCGCGAAGCACGACCGAGCGGCGCGCGCGCGCGGCGCGTGGCCTCGGGTTGGGGCCAGCCTGGCAGACTGAGGTGCAGGGTTACTTTGGTCGGCCCACCGGGAAGGCACTCGACGAGACGGAGATCGCCCACGACGAGGACCCGAGCGCTTTACCATGGATCTTCGAGTTCTCCGACGGACAGGGCACCCGCGACATCTCGACTGAGTTCTGGCACGAGCCCGACGAGCCGAAGACGAGGGACATCAAACCGGGCGAGTGGAACAGTTCGCGCGCGGTCCCCCGCAAATTTTGGCTCACTCCTCGCGCGCTTCGCGGCCCCATGCGGAGCGCCTCCATGGCGCAGTTCGCATGCGGTTCCCTAGCCGCATCGGGGCACCATTCACGCGCTTCGGGGCCCCTTAGGGGGCTTCGCCGACTGCCGCCGTGGCGCCGTTCGCAAGCGGTCCCCAACCAATTACGGCACACTCCTCGCGCGTTTCGCGGCCCCATATGGGGGCCTCACCGAGTGCCTCCGCGGCGCAGTTCGCGCGCGGTTCCCCGACGGTTGCGGGGCACCTCTCACGCGTTTCGCGCCCAATGAGGAAGCTGAGTGCCTCCGTGGCGCGTTTCGCATGCGGCCCCCCATTTATATCGGGGCACCCACTCGCGCACTCCGTGGCCCCATGGGGAGCTCCACCGAGCGCCTCCGCGGCGCAGCTCGCACGCGGCGCCTCCGCCGAGCGCCTCCACCGAGCGCCTCCACCCCCCCTTCCACCGACTCACTCCTCAGACGCTTCGCGGCACCATCGGGAACTCCACTGAATGCTTCCGCGGCGCAGTTCGAATGCGGCGCCCCATCCATTTCGGGGCGCCAGTGAGCTCCACCGAATTTTTCCGCGGCGCAGTTCTCATGCCTTATGTATTTACGTAGGTACATGTCTCACGCGTTTAGGTCCCATGGGGGGCCCCACCGACAGCGACGACCACGGCGCGGTAGTCACAGTTGCATGTGGTTGGGCAGCTCGCGTGGATAATTTCGATACATCGCGGCCTCGGGAACGCGGACCAATCCCGTATCCATTTTGGCTCAAGGTTTTGGTTGTCCCCGATGGAACCAGCGATGCCGCTAGTCCGCGGCTGGCTTCCGATTTTACGCTCGGTCTGTCTGCCCAGGCTGCGAGCTTCTTGTCCGAGTCCGATCGGGCTCGCACCTTCGACGGCCTCACATTGCGTCGATGGGATTACACAAAGGCGGCAGCAGAGACGACCGGCGCCAGAGGTGGAAGCGCAGGTTCTATGTCCACAAGCCCACAGGCTATGAGAAGTCGGGGTGCACCAGGCGCATGACTTGCAAGGCTGCAGCGGTCAAGAGGACTGCGCAGCAGAAGGCGCTCGCGATCTCTACGAATCAGCAGAAGCGGGGCGCTGCGAGTCAGGCTGCGGACGTGGAGGGGGTCACCCAGCGGATGGAGAGTCTTGGAATCGCAGCTCGGCCCAGGCCCAGGCCACGGTGGTCGAGGAGGAAGGCGGCCCCCAAGCGGGGGCGAAGAAGCAGAGGCTAAATGAGATCGACAGCGTTCTCGAGTGCACCAAGGATGATGCTTCGGAGAGCGCCCAGGCCTATCGAGCGGGGTTGCAGAAAGAGCACGCTAGCATCCTGGCCGAGCTGCGCGGCGCGCAGCCAGTCCCGGTGCAGCTCAGTGGCCTCAACGAGAAGCTGGGGCGGGTCAAGGCGCGCACCGAGAAGGCCGAGGCTGCGATCGCGGCCAAGACGAAGCAGATTGCTGCGCTTCTGGCCGGGATCGAGAAGGAGAGTACGCAGCTTGACCATCACCGCAGGATGTGCTGGAGGTCGAGCAGACCATTCGGGAGGCATGTTCGATCAGTGCCAAGCCACCTCCGAAGAGGGCAATGGACAGCGCGCAACTGTGCGAGGTGGAGATCGCCCTCACAGACCTTGAGGAGATCGTGCGAGCTGCTAGGGGTGGCGAGCTAGCCGAGTCCTTGCCAAGGGCGCCCTCGCGGCAGGCTCGCCGAGATGGTGGCGCAGGAGGTTTGCGCTGCAGAGCCTGATGGAAACCAACCAGACGTAGCTGCAGCCCAGCCAGACAAACCCGAGGCCACCAAGCCTCTGGAGGCTGTCAAGGCTGTCATCCTGGCGGCAGGTCACAAGGTCCCTGAAGCTGAAGACGAAGCGCGGCTGCTGGCCAAGCCGATCAGGCCAATTACCAGAGCCTTTTCTCCGTACTAGGCGTTGGATGTTGTTACGTGTGGGGTTGGTACTGCTCCAGATCATGACGATGGTGTCTGTTACGTCTGCAGGTGGCGTCTCGGGAGAGCAGTTGCTGTTGCGCGCTGATGCGGCTCCGTTTCTTCCGAGAACGATGCTGGATGAGAGCGAGGTCGACCCGTTCGTGCTCCTGGACCGGGGGGCGGACGACGAACTAGGAGCGGATCTTGGTTCGGGCCACGCTACAGTATGGACACCCCCAGATGGCCAGGCACGCGCCCCCCCCCGGGCTGGGGGCAACGGCAGGCCGGGCGGAGCCAGTCTCGGTGCAGCTCAGTGGCCTCAACGAGAAGCTGGGGCGGGTCAAGGCGCGCACCGAGAAGGCCGAGGCTGCGATCGCGGCCAAGACGAAGCAGATTGCTGCGCTTCAGGCCGGGATCGAGAAGGAGAGTACGCAGCTTGACCAGCACCGCAGGATGTGCTGGAGGTCGAGCAGACCATTCGGGAGGCGGGTTCGACCAGTGCCAAGCCACTTCCGAAGAGGACAAGGGACAGCGCGCAACTGTGCGAGGTGGAGATCGCCCTCACAGACCTTGAGGAGATCGTGCGAGCTGCTAGAGGTGGCGAGCTGGCCGAGTCCTTGCCAAGGGCGCCCTCGCGGCAGGCTCGCCGAGATGGTGGCGCAGAAGGTTTGCGCTGCAGAGCCTGATGGAAGCCAACCAGACGTAGCTGCAGCCCAGCCAGACAAACCCGAGGCCACCAAGCCGCTGGAGGCTGTCAAGGCTGTCATCCTGACGGCAGGTCACAAGGTCCCTGAAGCTGAAGACGAAGCGCGGCTGCTGGCCAAGCCGATCAGGCCAATTACCAGAGCCTTTTCTCCGTACTAGGCGTTGGATGTTGTTACGTGTGGGGTTGGTCCTGCTCCAGATCATGACGATGGTGTCTGTTACGTCTGCAGGTGGCGTCTCGGGAGAGCAGTTGCTGTTGCGTGCTGATGCGGCTCCGTTTCTTCCGAGAACGATGCTGGATGAGAGCGAGGTCGACCCGTTCGTGCTCCTGGACTGGGGGGCGGACGACGAACTAGGAGCGGATCTTGGCTCGGGCCACGCTACAGTATGGACACCCCCAGATGGCCAGGCATGCGTCCCCCCCCGGGCTGGGGGCAACGGCAGGCCGGGCGGCTTTTGACGGTCACCTCCTCAGATGGCCAGGGACAGTCTTCCCCTGGGCCGGGGGCAGCTGCGAGTCGAACGGCGATGTCGGCTACCTTCCCAGATGGCCCGGGATGCGTCTCTCCTGGGCCGGGGACAGCGGCACGTCGGAGGGCGATTGCGGCTAATTTCTCAGATGGCCAGGGTGGTCAGACATGGCTTTCGCGGAAGCGCGCCCCCTAAGGTAGACGTTCTAGTGGCCCCCTAGTGGTTTTCTAGTGGTCCCATGGGCCCAGGGCGGAATCGTCTACCCCCTGATTTCAAAAAAAACACAATTCTAGAAGGTATCACTTCAAGTGTCTCCAAATGGAAACAAACATGTTGTTCAGTAATACGTAAACAACAAGACAATGATTCTGACAAATACCATTTTCAGAGCGCACGTCGCGGCAAACCTTGGACCAATCCGTGGGCGCCCCGCTCATGTTTGCATTGCGCCATTGACAGGGATGACGCACGGGGGCGCACGCCTAATTGAGTCGCGTGACGGCCCACCATCCGTGTCATAAACCAGTGCATGAAACTAGAGGTAAGAGAGTCGCGCTCCATCTGTGAGTTCTGACAGTGAACGCTTAGCTGAGCAATGTCCTTGTCCATCATCGCGCTTCGCTCGTCCTCACCTTGGGTTTGTTTTTTTTTTTTTGGGGGGGGGACCGTCATCGGGGCTTCGATCATCTGGCTTCCCAGTGTCCCGCCGCCCGTTTGTGACTGGCGGGGTTATCATAATTCTGACCCCCGTCCTTCAGAGCTTCTTTATTTTCATCGGCCTCCTCCCCGATTCTTCCTCCTCCGCCTCCGAGTGTCACCCCATTCTCTTTTCCTCCTGATCTCCGCGTGTGCGGGGAGCATGAGGGAGTAGAGTGACTGGATCTGCCAGTGGCGTCGGTGCCCGAAAGCGCGCATGAAAGGTGGTGCGTTGACAAGGTGATGAGGGGGCCCCCTGGTTTTGAGATGGGCTCCAAACAGTTTCTTCTTTTGAACGTCGGACCCTCCTCTGTTCCAGACGGGTTTGAGGATCACGCGCGAAGGTCCGCACTTCTGCTAGACCTGTTTGGGCGCGCGAGGGGGTAGCGACATTTGCGAATCATTTTGCGAATTGCTTGTCCTCCTCTTACGTTCGGTATAGCTTATGTGCCATATGAGATCAAGCATTCTAGAATGGGCCTCTTACATCTTCGTGCACGTGTGATCTTTCTATTATGCATGTTCGGGTCCGATTCTGACTCTGTCGTCGGTGGCGTTGCGGACAGGGCTCCAGCGCCCATCGTTGCTGGAGGCGGCGTTTCAGACGATGATTTCGTCGGTTCTGGACCCGCGCCTGTTAGGCGAGACGGCGGCAGGCCCGCGCGTAGACCAGGCAGAGCCCGGGCTGCGAACGAGGGGGCGGAGTCGATAGTGGTGGTGGCGTCTGCCTCCGTGGGGCGCTGGTCTGAAGCTGTTGCAGGTGTTCCATTTCAGCATTGCCAAGATGGTTCTGTTGTGGGGCTGGTTCGTGCCAAATGGCTTCTTTGCGCGCCTGAGGAGATCGAGGAGTGTGACGATGACACGTTTAGGATGATGGTGACATCCGCTGTTCGAAACTGTGATTCGGTAATGGGTTTTGTGGTGTACATGCTCGTGGATTCGATCATGCTGTTTGATCCTCGCTTGCCTGTATCTGAGACTCCTCCTCGCCAAGCTCGCGAAGTGGATGCCGACCGAGGTCGCGATTATGATGGCGATGAGACTACAGTACAGGATTGGTTGCGACGCCAAAATGGCGCAGGGGTGACCTCGGCCGAGCGTTTCTCGCCTGCGTTTGCCGAGTTGCTGGTGGCAGGACGTTTTCACATACTGCATGTCACAGTGATCGGCCCGTCGCGGCCAAGGGGAATGCATCTTCTTACGGTCAGGCCTTCTCCCAAGCAGCTTAGAAGATTCCGTCAATCTTGCGGGGTGCCAGCGGAAGTTCCAGAGGTCGGCCGAGGCGAGTTCCAAGCTCCAATCCTGGCCGACTTGAAGATGCGGCGCACCATAGCAGCTTTACGGCATAGCGACGACATCAAAGATTACAAAAAGATCAATAAGTCGGTCAAGTCAGCTGCTGGCGTGATCGCTCTGATCATTGACCCTGAGGTTGCCCAAGTTGTGGCAGACTTCAAGCCCGCGATCAACCGAGAGATAATCAGGGCGGCCCGTGTTAGGTTCGATGTTTTTGCCATGCACATTTGGAGGGGGTCCATCAAAACGGTGCCGCCTGCAGACATGGACATCTTCTTGTATGTGGACGGTAGCCCGCAGCACAGAGGGAAATAACTATATGCTTCGTCAATAGATATATTTATGAAGCGGCGCGGCGCCACCGAGATGTACCACCGACTCTTACCAGTGGTTTCCCTCGGCAGAGATCAGCAGGACACTTTAGGAAAGACGGTTGCGCTCCTGTGGCAGTTGACGCTCATGTTCGGCCCAAAGTTGTTGCCTCGCTTGCTGGAGCGAGTTCGAGGCATTCTGGCCGACAGCGGAGTTGAGCGCAAGATCCACACGATGATTAATTTCTTGCCTGACTATTATTGGTTCATCAAAATGCCAGCGCCGCGCGGGCTGAGCACCGAAGGGCGCTGGATGCCAAGGGTATTGCGCTCCAGCGGATGGAGGCACGCATTCGACTTGGTCATAAAGCGAGGTCTTTCGATGTTGTCCTTCTTCCCCGGCTTCTTGACGAAGCTCAAAGCAGTTGTCAAATTTCTTCGAGACAAGAACCTCATGGAGACGTTTACTGTGGAGCTCAGGCGTCGTGGTTCAGTTGATGCTGCGGAGGTGCTCGAAGTTTTCCACTTCCCATCTTTTGCGAAGTGGCGCTGGTCTACTTTACACGGGTGCGTCAAACCAGTCAGTGGCATAGTGCACACGCCCATCAACTATTTCGATCCTGAATTGTTCAGGGGGATGAAGGATCAAACGCTATTCAGCACAGTGTTGGCAGCATTGGCATCGCCGACTTGGTCCAAGAGAGAATTGGCATTTGTAGCATGGTTTGCTGCATGGCTGACGCCTTTACAGAACTACGCTGGCACGTGCTTGTGTCATCCTCGAGGACGCCCCTTTTTTAAAAAAAAGATATATATATATATATATATAAGCGTCATGCATATATATGTCACCGCTTCGCGGGTCTCCACCAGCCCATCCAGGAAAACACAGGCAACCAGTGAGCAGCAAGAGCCGCCAATAGGTGGATTGAGAAAAGCCGAAGGAGGAGGAGGGGAAGGTACTACCTCTGATGAGTATAGGAGAGGGGGGTGGAGGAGGGGGGGTGGAGGAGGGGTGGAGGAGGATGAGCATCGTGCATCGATCCTCGATCCTGGGGCATCGATCCTCGATCATCGAGCCTCGAACCTGGAGTCTCGAACCTCGAGCCTCGGGCCTCGACCCTCGATCCTCGATCGTCGAACCTCGAGCCTCGACCCTCGAGCCTCAATCCCCGATCCTCGACCTGCGAGCCTCGAGCCTCGAGCCTCGGTCCTCGATCCTCGAGCCTCGGTCCTCGGTTCTCAGTCTATGTTCCAACTTCGATTCTCTGGATCGTAACTGCGGGTTCGGAAAGTGAACTAATTTACTGGTGGCATCCGAGATAATCGTCCGCCGTGGGCCCGCGTTGGGCCCCTAAAGCAAGGGAGTTGCCTACCGTCTTGTTGTGCGTTTTGAGCGTTGCTTCAGCACGCCCCAGGAGAGCCTGGTTGCAGCATGCGAGGTCGCTTGCTTGGCGCGTTGCACATCAGCATGCCACGAGTGTCTTACGGAGTGGGCTCCGAGAGGCAAGCGCGCGGA